AAATTACTAATTTTAGCAAACCTTGCTCTATGTGCTTATAGCGTGATTTTTCAGCCTTTATACATTACCACAGAGAAGTTCAGGAAGGATGCAAGTGATCAAGGCTATCTGAACATACAAAAGGTGAAGTAAATATTTCTGGGGGGGGGGAAGGAGTGCCACAGTTCAGGAGGCATGAGGTGAGATTTGGAAACACTCTGAAGAGCCCACTGTAGCTGTGCAGGTTTAATTTTGGAAGCAGATTCTGCGTCTGGTTTGAATAACCTTGAAACTGACAAACCTGTATGTTAATTGTGAAAAGCCTTCTGGATAACTGCTGCTTAAAATACAAGTACCTGCTCATGGAATGGGAATGTAAATAAGCTGCTATCAGCTAATTACAAGTGACTGCAGTGATTCCATATTGATATTTTGCTGAAGGGTCTTAGGTCATGGTTTAAGCATTAAGCCAATGTGGGAAAACTAAATGAGAACTAGTGTTTTGTAGAGACTGTTCCACTATCATAATTACTGCAGTCTTTGGTACTGAGCACTGAACTGCAGAATTTCTGGTTTGATCTGCTGTGTTACTGTGTTGCTAAAAGAAACTGAGTAGCATTGTGAGAATGTAGAGGAAGGAAAAAGTCACTGAAATAAAAAGATTTTCAAGCCAGTACATGATACAGTATGTAGTTAAAATAGGGGTGGCACAGGCAGATTGGGTTAGGAGCATGCCTGGGCTCATTTTCCTCTTGAAGGCATCCCTGATTGTGTCAGAGGAGGGGAGCGAACTATTCAGGCTGCATATGTGTGTGGGTGTGTGCACCTAAAAATACATGCCCAGGTTTTACACAGATACATTTGTATTTGATTTCTGTTCTGACAGTATTCTGTGAAGCAATTTCTGTTTGTTCTGAACCTGACCGTGTAAAACAGAACAGCTGCTGCTGCAGTATTCTAGGTACGTGAGTATTTTTTGGCCTTAAATACATTTGTTAGTCACTGAGCTTCCTGCACGTTTGCTTTTCATTCAGTAGTGACCAACCAACATCAGTGGGGTGTGGAGAGAAGCTAAAGCAGCTGGTATAGCTCCTTAGTGCACAGGCCACCTGATCTGAAACACGTGGGCTAGTTTGCAGAGCCAAACCAGCTGTGGTGGCATCCAGGAGGGACTCTCAAGTCATGTTTCAAGAAGATATTTTCTCCTTCCTCAGATGAAGAAAATACTTTCCTTCTTGTACCTTTCCTAATGTACCTCCCTGAGGTGCTGTATATTCAAGAGTTTGCACTGAGCTCCATTATAGTATGTAACCCTGGAGCTACTCCCTTTTGTTAAACATGCACTGTACTTGTTTTCTTGTGAGAAAAACGCGGGTGCAGGTCACATCCATCCTACAGTTTCTGTGTCCCATTTTCCTGGCCACATACTCATTTAATAGGCAGCTGAAAAAGTAAAAGGCTATGGCTGAATCCTTTCAAAACAAATTCTCCCTGGTTATCCAGATAGAGTTACAGAATAACAAATCAATGCTTCCTTTGTGTGATGACTGCATGACTCTTATTAATACGAGAGTCATGACTGTGGAATGGAGTCTGTGGAGATAGAAGATAATCCAGCCATAATATCAAGGGATCTTAATGTATATTGCCAATTGCCAAATACTTAAGCCTTTTCCCCCTTTTTTTTTAATTACCTGAGCTTTTAAATGAGTCTGGCTCCAACTGAAGTAATAATTTGTGTTTGCAATGTGATTGATGTAGGCTCAGTTTAATTGCCTGAGACTTGTTCTGAGAAACATCCCTGCTAGCTGATTACTTTTATAATGTTTGCAAACCTCCCAATCCCCACATGACAACCTCATCCTTTTGTATTTGTATATTTAGGAAGTATCATTTTGTTTGCACAAGACACAAGTACTAGCTGAGGATACTTGGATAATATCAAGGGATCTTAATGTATATTGTCGATTGCCAAATACTTCAGCCTTTTCCCCGTTTTTTTTTTGTTTGTTTGTTTGTTTTGGGGTTTTTTTTGTGTTTTTTTTTTATTAACTGAGCTTTTAAATGAGTCTGGCTCCAACTGAAGTAATAATTTGTGTTTGCTATGTGATTGATGTAGGCTCAGTTTAATTGCCTGAGACTTGTTCTGAGAAACATCCCTGCTAGCTGATTACTTTTATAATGTTTGCAAACCTCCCAATCCCCACATGACAACCTCATCCTTTTGTATTTGTATATTTAGGAAGTATCATTTTGTTTGCACAAGACACAAGTACTAGCTGAGGATACTTGGTGTCTCTGAGCCAAGCTCTTCCATGTATTTTATGAGACCTGGAGACAGACAGCACTTCTGAGGTCAGAAATGAGGAAGATTGAGAAACTGAATCAGAATCTAAAATCAATATTTTAATAACGAGGGAATATTTTCTTTAAAGCTTCATTTAAGTGATTGCTATGGTTACAAGCCCTGTAACAAGGATATTCCAGTTATACAAATAATTGAATTTAGCCTGCTTTTACATCTGTTTTCTGCCAAAGAATATATTGAACTGTGTGGAAGTCTTTCCTTGCCATTGGTCAGCCTCTCCATTTGGTGCAGTCATGGCTAGTTTGTCTGCCAGGTTGCTGGCAAAAGGGGATCAGGCTGCAGACCTCAGCATACAGCCGGGTGGAACAGGGAAATGGAATGGCTGGGAGCACAATAACACACAAAGTGTAATCAACTGCTGGAGGCAGTGCAGCAGCCAGGTTGGTTGGAGTAAAAAGTGCAGAGTAAGGGCCATTTCCAGACGTAAGTTTTACAGCAATTCTTCCTGTTGATTTTGTATTCAGTTCCTCACTTAAAAATTGGCAATGCTTGTGCCTTTTGTTGAATTTAACTTCCTCTGCCTGTTCCTTACCTCTGCTGTCCCACCCATGCTGGAGTTGAGGGGATGCTCACAGCTGGGGGGGATCATGGACCTGGCTCTGTGCACCTTAGTGCTTGCAGGTCCAAGATGCAGTGTGGGGAGTTGGAAGCCTTGGAGAGGGCCAGCATGGACATGGCTGAGCTGAATTGTCTTGCTTCTGTGTTCTGCCTCGTCATCTCTGATATGCTTGTGACCTTCTTCTGAGAACTATTTATCTAAAAGGCTGTCATGGAAAAGCAAGGTAAAAATCAGCAGCACTTAACCACCTCTGTTGCTACATGTCAGTGATGTGAGACCTGTTACACAGGGAACCTAGAGCATCATGAGCCTGCTCAAATTCCCAGCACCATGCAGGTGGAAAGGGTCTGGAGAGGGTCCTTGCTTTGTTAGTCATGCACTGGAAGATTGGTGGGAGCACACTGTCACTACCATGGTGTGTGTGACTGCTTAGTGCTCATGGAGAGGGGGCGGCCCAGCTCCGCAGCAGGCGGAGCAGGATTGCCCACCCACCTCTCTGCTCTGTGGGAAGATCCTAATAGAAGTAGGTTTCAGCAGCTGCCTGTTTGTGGCTGGAAAATGTGAGAAATGAGTAGCTTGCAGCAGATCTAGGAAGCCAAGACAGGATTGCATGCAGTTGTCCTCTGTCTCCTGAAGTCTGTGAAAATGGGTTGTGCCTGTTTATGCCAGATTTGTGCTAGTGCTTTGGATAATTGATGGACACCAGAACTTCAGTATTGCTGAGAACAAGCACTGTACAAATTAGCCTGGTCATGTGTTTGGCAGATCTCTCATTAGCCAGGAATTCTTAATAAGAATTATAGTATTAATGGGGGTTTATCTGCTAAATCCCTTTCACAGGAAGAAAAGAATCAGAAATCTGACTCAAACAGTAGGTGAGGACATTTGGCTGAAGGCATGGAAGAGGTGATGGGAGAATTAACATTGCAGTTCCTCTCTGGATTGTGTACAGCAGAGCAGGGCTGGAGGGAGAGACATTCTGACTCAACAAACTGGGGGAGAGGTGGAATTAGCACTTTGGTGAAGACTAAGAGTGCTTCAGTCAAGCTGTTTGATGACTCATTTAGTTTACTTGCAGTATAAAGTTTAGCTGGTGAGAAACCTTGTTCAAATACGAAGAGCTTCCTCTGGTCTCTGTCTTGTCATTAAGGTCACCAGAGCTGGTGGGAGTCACCACCCACAGCAGTGGTCACAGCCGAATGCAAGGACGCCATGGGAGGGGAGTTTGTGGGTTGCAGTCAGCTTTTGCTGAGGATGGTGTCTGCATGCTAGCACTCTCTGCAGTGTTTGCCTTACTGGAGTTCTATAATTTGTGTGGATTTTGATGTGCTTCATGTCTGGCCTCTGATGAAGATGTGCTGGCAGGAGAGGAGTGCTGGAGGGCCCAGCCCTGCTCTGCTCCTGGGTTGGGAGCAAGGCTGCCCTGTTGTCCCATGACCACTCAGCTGCCACCTCGGCACAAACACACACCTACACGTAAAGCAGCTGGACTTTCTAGTTCAGATTACTGCTGAATCCTCTCTTCCCTCTGTGCTCAGCTGCTGAGTAGTGGAAATGCAGTTTTGTGAGGTAAGCCAGAGAGAGTAAGCCAAGTTTTAAACTATGTGTGTATAATCTTCAGAAAAAATACTGTGTAACTGTGAACTTTCATTTTTTCTGATTATTTTGATGGCTGCCAAGGCACGATAAATGTGCATGTGGGAACTTACACTGGCTTGACCGTGTCAGTTTGAAAATGCACAGGATCCAGAAATGTCAGTATCACACCTTTGGAAACCTGTAGTGTGGCAGTGAGGACCCCAAAATAAGTCTGGCTTTCCTTTGTGGTACTGTTGCTCCCTCTGACTGCTGCAGGTGCACACTGCAGCAGCACAGGGGAAGATATTTCAGACAGGCTTTTTTGAGTCCTGGAGTCAGTAGTGCTAGGGCACAGACCATGTGAGAGCTTCATCATATTGACTTAACCTTGCCCCTGTCTTTTGGGACCAAGCTGATTCCTCACAAGTCCTTGCAGTTACGTAGTTCATCAGCCATGACTGTTAGCTAAGTTGTTTCAGCAGTTTTCAAAATAAAAGTACACATCCAACAGACTTCTAAAGTGTTATCACACATATATTATTCAGACTTTGGTGGTTGGAAAACCTCTGGGAGATGCCCTGTAGGATATGTTCATGTTTAGTATATATAAAATGATCTGGATGCAGCAGTTGATTGTCCTCTTGGCAGGTTTGCTGACAGTAGTCAGCTGGGAGGTGCTGATGACTCTGGAAGGAGGAGAGGCCTTGCAGAGGCATCTAGATAGATTGGAGTACTGGGCAATGATTCATGGGATGAAATTCAAGAAATCCAAATACCGGATTCTGCACCTGGGACAGAGTAACATCAGGTACAAGTATAAATTGGGAGAGTGGAGAACAGCTGTGCTGAGAGGGATGTGGGGGTGTTGGTGGGCAGCAGCTCAGTGTGGGGCAGCAGTGTGTGCCCGGATAGCCAGGCGGGCAAACTGTATCCTGGGGTGCATCAGACATGGCACCACCAGCCTCATCTTGGGCACTGTGAGCAGTTCTGGGGCCCACAATTTGAGGAGGATGTGAAGGTCCTTGAGTGCATCCAGAAGAGGGCAACAAAGCTGGTGGAAGGGCTGGAAGGCATGTTCTCTGAGGAGTGGAGAAGGACTTTGGGCTTGTCTGGTTTGGAGAAAAAGAGGCTGAATTTTGACCTTGTTGCTCTCTGTAGCTGCCTGAGGGGACATGGAGAGGGAGGTGCTGATTTCTTCTCATTGAAATCCAGTGATAGGACACGTGGGAATGGTTAAAAAATGCAACAAAGACTGGGTATTAGAAAGCATTTTTTTTTAGCAAGAGGGTGGTCAAACACAGGAACAAGCTTCCTGGAGGAGTGCTTGATAGCACAAGACTGTCCGTATCTAAGCGGCATTTGGACAGTGCCATCAACAAAGTGCTTCAGTTTTTGGTCATCCCTGAAGTGGCCAGGCAGGTAGGCTAGATGACCATTGTAGGTCCCTTCCAACTGAACTGTTCTATTCTGTCCTATTCTACTCTAGTCTAGAGTGGCTTCTCAGGAATAGGCTGGTGCAACAAGACAAAATATCTTTAAAAAACTGACTTAAGCTTCTGAACCTTTAAGGATTAGAAAAGACTTTTGCTTGTTTTGCTTTCTCTGTTTGAACATAGCACGTGTGGGTGTGCTTTAACTAAGTTCTTGCGCTGCTGCATTTTTCTTCTTCTTGATCCTTTGTAACATTTTGCTTGGCAAGCAGGAACAGTGTGTGTGGAAAGTTCGTACACCTGTGTAAATGTTATTGTTAACAATTACTTGTCTGCTGAGGACTCAGAAAGTTTTGACAAAACCTCAGGAGAAAAACTCTATCAAGCACAGGAGTCTGAGCCTATGGGAATTAGTGCTCAAGTAGCTGTTGCTGTGCCACTCATCTGGTGGGAGCTGCAGCCGCAGAAGGATGAGGATTTTGCATTCCCAATGGACCTGGATGAACCCACCTGTTGGCCAACAATGTTTTCTCTGCTCATCTGGCACAGCTGCCTACAAAGTCATTCCCTGAGCAAAGCCAATTCAAAACGATTTGATTTGCTTAAGCATTTTCATAACAATCTAAAGCTGCCTGAGGCATTTTCACCAGGCTGAGTTAGAAAATTATTACCATGAGCTGCCATGCTGCAAAAATAGGTGAGAGTTTCCACTGTGATGGAGTTCATGCTGAGGTACTGGTGGATGAATGGGAAGTGGTGGCTGCTTTACTTGGATAGCAGCAGTGTGAACAGGCAGGGAATGCACTGCTGCAGTTAAACATGTATGTGAGTTCTCTTGCTGTGAAATGAGAACGTCCTGTGTCATCTCAAGGGCTGGTTTTGTCCATCCTGGAGAAGGCTCAGAGGGAATCTTGAACTAATGATGGGATGCTATAGAGAAGACAGTGATGCATAATGGCAAGGAGAGAGGCAAAGGACATCGGCTGCACCAAGGAAGATTAGACAGAAAGAAAAAAAATCACTGTGAAGAAAAATCAAATACAGGAACAAGTGTCTGGAGACATGCAGTCTCTATCCTTGGAAATGCTCAGAACTGACAAGACCTGAGCAACCTGATGTAGTTTCAAAATGGATCCTGCTTCCATTAGGAAGGGGAGGTGATCTCTAAAGTTCCCTACCAATATGATATTACATGATTATAATTTTTAATGGCATCTTAAATTAGATGAAAGCAATTGGTCTTATTGAAAAGCAAATGTTACTTGCACTCAAAATAATTCACAATCATATTCACTACCCACATTTTACAAGCAGCAATATGAGGCAGAAAGGTCATTAATTTGTGTGAGACACAGGGTCTCAAGAGCAGAGATCATAGTGCAAAATTTGCAGGAGTTCCAGGTGTACCACCACCTGATGTCTGCATTCTATGCCTCGCCCTGCTATCCACTGGTACTTGTGGGATCCTCCAGGGTGCTGCATGAAACCCAGGGCCTCTCTGGTGTAGAAGGGTGACAAGGAGAGCAGCAGTGTCCCTGCAGCTGTGATGTTGCAAGGCTTACACCACTAAAATATCTTACTACAGCTCTGCAGGTCTGTAACAAAACACCTGCATCACTTGATATGTTACATTAATACATAATTAGGATGTCAGTGTGGTATCTGTCAATTCACTGGTAAGTGTGGCTTAAGCTGTGCTTCATTAAGAATCTTTATTGTTATATGTGTAACAGAGACACAGAAATAGATAACAGCAAACATAATAAACTAAAGATGTGGTGGGTGGGTTGTCAGCTGCTGTTCTGCAGGCACAAGGTCACTGTGAGCTTTTACAGAAAGGGAACTTCAATATTCTTTTGTCCTAGCTTTGTCCGGAATAGGGTTAATTTTCTTCCTAGTAGCTGGTACAGTGCTGTGTTTTGAATTCAGTATGAAAATAATGTTGATAATACAATGATGCTTTAGTTTTTGCTCTCTAGTTCTTATTCTAAGTCAAGGAATTCTCAGTTTTCTGTGCTCTATCAGCAAGCAGGTGCACAAGAAGCCAGCAGGGAACATGGCCAGGACAGCTGACACGAGCTGTCCAAAGGGTTATTTCACACCACAGAGTGAAATGTGCAGTATATAAACTGTGGGGAGCTGGCCAGGAACTGCTGATCACTGCTCAGGGACAGGCTGGGCATCAGTCAGTGGATGGTGAGCAACTGAATTGGGCATCAGTCAGTGGATGATGAGCAACTGAATTGTGCATCACTCATCTTCAGTTTTACTTCTCTCTCACTCTTTGCTATCTCCTGTTTCATCTCAATAATAATAATAATAATGATAATAATAATAATAATAATGGTTATTGTTGTATTTTAATCTATCTCAGTTGTTAAACTGTTCTTATCTCAGTCCATGAGTCCATGGGTTTTACCTTTTCTGATTTTCCTCTCCAACCCACAGTGGGGATGAGAGTAGTGAAGGGGTGGCTACATGGTATTTAATTGCCAGCTGGGGCTAAACCATTACACCTTTCTGAGGAGACAGCTGAACATACCATGGTGTTGTGAACCATGCTTGTAAACTGCAGTTATTTTCATCTAAAGTGTTATGGGTGTATTTAATGATGCAGAAAATGCCAGGTGAGATAAATGGGTTGACCAAGGCAGGTGCAGAGATCTGCTGCTAAGACATCTTTCATGATGGCAGGTCCATCTCTTTCCAATTGTGTCAAGCTGCTATTTCTGTCATCAAGACTTTTCTGAACAGACTTTCTAGCTGTGCAGAATAGCAGCAGTTAAAGGTGTGGGTTTGTGCAATGGTCTGGCAGTCTAGTGATGGTCTAGAAGCACAAACTTAAAACTGTCTTCAGTTGATGTAAATGTGACCTTGGATTTCAGGAGGTAACACTGCATTACCAGCCCACAAATAGAGGCTGCTAGTAAAAATGTCATGGACTTCACTGTTTCTCTTCTTTCTGTGAAGAAAAAGCTTCATTTTTTTGATATTACATTCAGCCTCCAGTGTAACAGAAGCAGAGTTCTGTGTTCTGGAGTGCTGTGGTCTATAAACTTTGATTTAATAACATTTTGGAAGAGAGAAGAGAAGAGAAGAGAAGAGGAGAAGAGAAGAGAAGAGAAGAGAAGAGAAGAGAAGAGAAGAGAAGAGAAGAGAAGAGAAGAGAAGAGAAGAGAAGAGAAGAGAAGAGAAACTCAGTACATGCATACTGCTGAGTCATTTTGCCAATTAGCCTCTACCACAGCAACTGGGACCAGAGACATGATCCTTGAAGTTTGAGTGATCACCCTGCTGCTGGCACTTGACCTGTTCTGCTCTTTGAGATACCAGGGTGTCTGTGTGGAAGTGTGAGAGCTTTCTTTTTATGCAGAAGATGTAACACACAGTTCCAAAACCTGCAGCTGTCATTACGATTGTGCGTTGGATATTGTGTCTTCCCTGTCTTTTATGCGGGGTCAGACTGAGTTTTAAAATACAACTTTCCAAATTCTGTATTTGGTCCAGGAGAAGTCTGTTAAAATAGTCAATGGAAAGGCTGCCATTAACTCTGAGAACAGCATTATACTCCAGAATTAACATCCAAATGTGTGGATTCCTTTATGAACAAAGGATGGGTGGAGTTCAATTAGCAGTTATGGTGACCAGAATTGAGGTCATGTTTCCCTAGATACCATCAGAACAAAAACCCAGCGGGATCACTGCAATGATCTGAGTTAAAATTAGCTCTTCTTGGTGATTGTGGTGGTGTATTTTTAACCTGTATTGTTTGAGTGACCCAATTCAAATGCAGCCATGCAGTGGCACACTGGTGAGGGCAGTGGGTGCAGCATCTGAGTGGGAGCGATGCCTTGAATGGGGGCACGGGGGACAAGATGTAACTCACACTTCTGCCAGAGATGGCATTTTATTTTTGTTTGTCTGGAAACTGGTGGGAAACACATGGGAAGAGATAGCATGATGACTAGCAGCACTCGACACTTGGGACTTAAGGTTCATTTCTGTGTAGGATTGACTGTGACACTGGAGGTGTGTTCAGCTTGCAACTTTGTTTTTCAGAACCTGAACTAGCTGGCAGTGTGCAGGCTGAAGCTTTCCCACGTCAGCCATAGGGCACCTGGACCACCTAACCTGAGAAAACAGAAATTCCAGAAACCAAATGAATGTCAGCAGATGCTGATTTTAAAAAAAGCTATTGCTTCTTAGTAAGGAAGAAATAGCTACCATCACCACCTCTTCTCACCCCCAAATCTGTGCCTGTGAAGGTAAGGGAATAACTGTGTGAAATAAAAGCAAGACTAAAGGAGGCAATCACAGAACACAGCAGGACTGATGAGAGTGCCAGATTAGTAGAATAATGATGATAACAATGAACACTGGGGAGACACAACTCACTGTCCCTTACTGCTTCCAAATGGGTGTTGAAACCCACAGAAGTGTGGGTTTCTGTGCCTTGAGTGCAGAGGCACCTGGGGAAGGGCAGCAGAGCTGTTGTGCAGACTGCCATCCCAAAGGCTTTTCACAAGGATACTGTGCATAGTCAGTTTTATATTGGGTACCAGTGGAAAAAAAGAGCAAGGGAGGCCAGGAATTTATGTTGAAGAAGAATGAGACGATCTAGGTTAGCACACAGAAATCTGTGATGGTGATTTAATCTTCCAGTCTGATGCAGTGGATGATAAAGAGATGCTTGGTTATATTTTACAGATTTTCCACTCCAGTTTTCCACAGCTCTACAGGCCATGAGATTACACATGAACCATCTCCATAGTTTGACTCTAAATACTCTATGCAGCCTGGGATCAGCCAGAATCTTCCCTACAATTCTCATCTCTTGTAAACACATGAAGCCAAATCCTGAAACTAAAATCTATGAAGGCCACTCTTCTGTGCTTTCAGTATTGTATGTGTGCATACATACTGAAAATGAGGAGGAAACTGCTGGGGTAAAATTCACTTGGTACTTGAGAAAAGAAGAGAAGCAACAGGTCTGTGAGAGAAACTCATAGTAATAGGAGCTGCAAGTATGTGAGTGTTAGAATTTTGCAGTGTTAGAATTTCAAGGGCAAAAATGAGGAAGGTGGAATAGAGTGGGAGTAATTTTCCCAGAAGGCTGTGTATTTATTCATGAGGAATGATGCTGTAAGAATAAATCATAACTCTGTAGGAAGTTTTTATCTGCAGGATCCTTGTCTCCCTGCCTGCTGAAGTTGGAAGATATGAGACATGAATTACATAATTAAAGATGTGACCATAATGATTATGTAAAATGGAACCAACCTAAAGTTGCAAGTTCATTATTATTGCATTAAATATATGAATGTATAAGAAAACATCAACAACTGAAGGCTATTTGAAGAAAAAGAAGGGCGTATTTAAAGAAAAGAAGTCAGTTTCATGCAGGTGGTTACTAAAATGGCAACAGAATCAAACAAGATCAAGAATTAAAACCCCCAAAACATTAACAAGTATACAAATTGCATTAATTTTAAAAGTCACCCTGATAACAAACAAAACTTGTAACAGAAACAATATTTCTACCAACTTAAGTCAATGGAAACTAAAAGAAGTGTATCAGGTGAGTATAACTTTTTATCTTAAGATACAGATTTGTTATAATGTTTTCACAGGCACAAAACTGGCTTGGTTTTTAGAGATGGCCATTCACTTAGGGCTTTGAATCTGAATATTTGATGGAATTCACGTTGCCTAATTTAGACACCGACAACAGAGGAATTAAATTTAAATTAGTTGTCTTAGGCTGGCTCTAGTATCTGAAGGGAAAGATCATCTCCAGAGAGAACGTAATTCCTTCTGACTTGGATGCCAGTCTTATAATGGGATAACTTGTCCTCAAAAGATGCTTTTCCTTCTCCACTGTTTATAAAAGGAGCTTAAGATAAATAAGACTCAAATTATCTACTTTCACATGATTAAAGACATGAGATAAATCCTGTAGGTCTTGTTATCTAACGTGAGGCATTCACAATTGAAAACTGTAGTCATGATAGCTACGGGCCATATCCAAACACTTTTGCAGTTTTTGCTCTGTATACCCCAAGGATCAGCTTTGTAACCAAGCAGTTCATGGACATATTTAATCAGGACCATGTTGGCAGTAAGCAAAGATTTAAACCCCATTTTTGGAGAGTGACATGCTGGAAGGACTGTGTGGCCACTGTTTCCCACAGTGTGTCAAAGATGACATCTTTCCTCTTGGCTCACCTGTACTTCAACTTTGGCTTGAACAAGTTGCTTTGTCTTTGGGTCTTCTTGGGATTTATCTATAAACATGGGTTTCTTTGATTGTAATATTTCCCTTTCCAACCTCTAAACATCTTGTTTAATTGCCCTTTTCAAATTCTTAAGCTGTTCCCAGCTAAGACTGAAAATCCTGGGTGGAATTCAGAGGAGGGAGATGAGAAACAAGGAATGTCCCCCAGGATTATTTTAACCTTCTTTCAAAAAGCTTGCTTACTCTCCTTGCTTGAGACAGTAGAGCTGTCTTGGTAGGTATCCTCCCTTGCCTCCTTCCTTCTTCATCTCTGTTCTTGGCACCAGCATAAACCAGTTTTGAAAAGGTGGCTACATTATTAAGCAATAGCTCTTGGCAGGCAGATGGGAAGAGCCAGTTAGACAAGAAAGGGGATGGGAATGTAGCCAGCCCCTGGAGGTATCTGTGAGAGGCATTCCTGCTTTCCTGGTTCCTCTTTGCTTCTGGCTTATTGACTTGTGCTCTGCTTCCAGAATGGGGTGACAGGTGAGTCCTCATCCTTCTCCTGGGAGCATCAGCACATGCAGCAGTGCCAGGAGGAAGCTGTGGTTCATGTGGCTGTAACTGGGATGGACAGTACCATCCAGAACCATGATCCCAGGACTATTCTTCTGTATTCTTCTGGAATACGTCCTGGTACCTTTCACTCTTCTTTTTGCTCCTTGCCTAGAAACTGGGATCTGCAACCAACTTCTGAACTTCTCACCTCGTTTGTGAGCTGGAAACAGGCATGATCCCCACTGTCGGCCTTGTGATTCCAAATAGTAGGATAATGTAGCAGTTTTCTGTTGGATGTAGAAAGAGAGTTGTGACCCCTACCTCAGGAATTGCCATCAATTTGAAAATTGCTGTTGTTTTCAGTTATTTTATGTCAATCTAGAAAAGCTCTTTTCCCTTTCCCTGTAGTTTTGTTGAAAACAAAACCTGTTCTAGAACACTGAGCAGAAAAGACCAATGGAAGGTAAGGCTGAAAGCTTGTGGGTGTTTAGGTTACAGTGCTGAGTGGTCATTTCCTTGCCCAAAAATTCACCTTTGGTTGTTGCACTGCTCCTTGGACATGGCTGACCACATTTATGGTTTCACTATTTTACTTTGTAATTACAAATGCCTTTCACCTCATTTATTAAAATCACTGTGTGTCCAAGTAGGCCATCTTTTATGCAATGTCAAAATAAATAGAATTAATATGAGTCTTTAAATATATGCATGAGAATTGCAATGGTTTTTGAAACATGGAAGTGCAACACTAAAATTATTTTCCTGAATGAGATGAATCATCATGCCTGGCAAAAAAGATCCTGTGAATTCATTGTATTTCCATGTCATTAAGAAAATATTATACTTCAAGCAGATGAAGGACTGCAAAATTTGGAGACCCATTATTACTGGATAGTGGTAGCAAAGAGAAGTGAATTGCATTTGCATACAAATACATGAGTGTGTTTTAGGAATCAACTTTTGTTTCTTAAAAAAAAAAAAAAAGGTATCCATTTAGAGGACAAAGCAGAGCTCTGGTATGCAGAAGACAAGCCTGGAGACATGGTGTCTTCAATCCACTGCTTCCATGTCTGTGTCCCCTGTTTGCTCCACAGACTGACCCTGGACAGATCTCTCTGCTAGGTCATCCACACATTCTGCAGCTTTTGGTGGACCCTGAATGGGTACTGGCATATTCCCAAGGGAGATGGGTGTGCTTTGTGAGGGGGTTAGCACATTTTCAGGGGCTGCTGGCATGCTTTCAGTGGGTATTGGCACATTCCCAGTGGGTACAGGCACACTCTGAGGAGGCACTGGCACACTTTCTGTGGGTGTTGGCACCCTGTCTGGAAGTGAGGGCGTGCTTTTGGTGGGCTTTGACACGTTCTCAGTGGGCGCTGTCATACTTTCAGTGGGTGCTGGTGTGTGTTCAGTGGGTGTTGGTGTGCTCATGCTGGGCTGCTCAAAGTTTTTCCCAGCCTCTGAATGTGGAGTGAGAGGAGCAGGAGGTTCTGGCACCAGGACAGGGTTACATGTTTGAGTGTCACAGGTCTCTGGATTGCTGCTGTTGCTTGGGAGGAAGTCCTCTGCCTTGTGGGACACCCTGAAAGCTTCAGCCAGCTGCTTCAGCATCTTCTTGTCACTCTCATGCAGCTCTATGCTCGCCTGCTCAGAGGGGGAAGAAATTGTTTTAGTATCATCTTCTTCATCGTCTTCTTCTTCTTCTAAGATGCCATTTCCATTCACCTCTTCTGGGAACTGTGCTTGCTTTATTTTTTTGTACAATTCATTTCTCTCTTCCTGCAGAGCACGGCAGAGGTTCTCTAGTCTCTGGATTTTCAACACGAAGCACTCATATTCCTTGGACCTCATGGCTTTCTGTAGTCAAAGACATCAGGCAAAGGTACAGGCTCAGTTTGGATGCATGCGATTCATGAGTGGAACTGACAATTAGGAAATTATTTGAGCAGCCTTTAAAGGATGCTGCCAGGTGGCTGGCTTTCACCAACTGCTCTTCAGTAACTATGGTGTTTTGGACCAAAACTTCAAGAGGAAATTCATCCCTGTAACTACAGTATATTAACATTCTGGATACATATTCAGATAAATTTCATTCAAATATATTTGCAGGAATACCTGCTGATGATCTGGAGAGATGGAAAAGCATAGTGCATGTCCATACAGATAAGCAACCAAAAGCCTGCTTAGACTTTTGGTTGATATGGATGTGAATTTGGAGGAAAACAAGCTGCTTTATTTTTTTTTTTGTTTATCTTGCTTCTGGGCTCTGTAAGAGCATCCTGAATTGGAACATTTTCTACACCCAGTGAGAAACAAGAGATACAGAAATCCATAAAAATAGAAATAGCAATAGCACAGAGCTACAAAGCTAACCAGAAAGATCTGGTCCAAGTTCAGCTTATGTTAGGAGTGAAACTTCAGGCAGCCTCTTATCTTCTTTGAATGAGTTCCAATGTGCTTATGAACTTCCTTTGCAATGCCCCTGGGACAGCACATTTAAAAGTATGGTGAGACACAGTACTTGCTTTTGACTCTTAGAGTCTGACTACACAGGAAGTTAATGAAAGGCATGATTTTAAAGTTCATTAGCTAGAACACATTAATTCCCTGTGTGGATGCTCTTATGTAGAAAGTAGCATGAAGTGAACTAATGCCAATTTGCTTGTATGGGAGAGCATTGAGAATCACCCATTTTTAGAGCACTTAAAATTCAGAGTTACATAATTCAGTTTCTCACGGATGTAGTGAATGTCTGCACAATCTAAAAGCACTACCACTTGGGATTGTCTTTTTCTCTAAAGACATCAAATTATCAAGGTAGCTTGAAAGAAAGACCCTTAGATTCAATAAGAAATTTTTCACTGACTTCTGGGATTATCTCATCTCCTAATTAAAGCTTTATGTGGGAAAAAGGATGCATCTTGAGATGGGAAAGACTGCTCACCTCTTCAATCATGTCCAGTAATGCTCTGTTACAGTTCTCAAACCTGGATTTCCATGTAGCAGTATCCTTTTCTAACTTCTTCATTTTCTTTGTCATCTATAGAATCAGGAAGAAAAGCTGAATCACACCGAAATTCCATGCTAAAGATGAAATTAGGACAGCCCCTTTATTCAAGTCTTTGGCCCTACTCAGAGCTCTGCTACCGGCTGTAGTGTCTCTGCTAAGTAATAATTAATGTTAAGGGATGGATTTCATTTGAAATAGCTTCTATATAACTTTCAGCCCCTAGTCTGTAGTCCCAACAGTAGAACCAGTTGATTTTAGCCAACTTCCAACTTCCATACAAACTACCACAAAAACAAAAGGCAAAGATTTTGGTGGAATCTGTTTGTCTCTTTGCCAGACTACAGTGTTAGATTGCCAGGAAGTTAAAGATGGGCTCTTCTGAGCCCTCAAGGCCAGGGAAATTTCCTCTGGACTAGTCACCCCTCTATACTACCTCCAGAGCACACCACGAGCTAAATAGCACCATTTTTCCTGTTGATTTTTTGCAGACAGAACTCTCTGTGAAGAATTATTAGGTGCTGCCTGGCTCAGGGCATGAGGATTTTGAGCCTTGGTGGCAGAGCAGAGCATTGTTTATTACGAAAGCAGGTACAATATGTAGATGTGTTTGGTTTTTAACTCCCACTCATGACAGGAAATAAGAATCCCAGCTGCAAGGAAACAGTCTCTTGGACTGTTTCCACATGGTGTAAAGGGGTTGGTGGGCTTCAGCTGTGCCTACACACTCTAGTAGAAAGATGTGTAGCCTATGTCAAAGTCTCTGTACCAGTGTCAGTCATCCAGAAGTTTCTGGGCGCTCCTGGGAACATGGTCTGATAAATGTGGCTCCAGACTCCCTCTCTGGTATGTCTCAGCGATCTGTACCCAACCACCACATTATATTTTAAATAAAATATTTATTCTTCCAGGCATTTTCAGTTTTAGCTGAAATTGAAAGCTTTCTACTCTCCTTTCTGCTGTTCAGCTTGCAAAGCTGAAATCTAACCTGCTGTCAGTCATGGCTGAGTGTGTCCTAAATCTTATTTGAATGTTGATGAAATTGTTCTTCAACATGTGCAGAGATGGTCCCATCTCAGGTAGAATTATTAGAGTGAGAAATATCAAAATCTAAAAGGAAAGTGTCAATTACAGAGTTCAGGCATGAGCTCCTACTCACTTTTTCCATCTCCTGTTTGAATGTGGCAAACACTTCATTGCTTTTGGCCAATGTTTTCTGAAATTCTTCAAATCTTTCAGAGTAGAGAGTGATCTATATTGACAGAGAGAGAGAGAAACAAAAACCCCTCACTAATTTCAGAACATCCCGGATGGTGAACTTCTACTTTGGTAGAAGATAATAAGTATTGTGTTTGGACACAGAAATTAGTTTCTGTGTGGAGACCAACCTAGCACAAACATCAGGGAACAGAAAGTCTTTGCAACTTTTTATGCTTGCAAACTATTATGATTTCTCCATTGCAGAAATATAAACTGAGTAAGAATAGAAAGAGCCAGGCAAGTGATTTTAAAAAGACCTGGGAGTTATGGATGCTCTACTCTCCTGAATGTTGCAGCTGTGGTATCCCTATACAGGTGTCCAGAAGAAAAGTAATTCTGTAGATATTAAGACTTCGGAAAACAATTCCCTTGCTTTGATCCCTAGCCCATCTCCATGGGCAAGGACTAACCTGAGCTGGTCCAACCACTGATGCTGTGGAGGACAATCCAGTGTGATTAACTCCAGGTGAGAGCCAGCGTGAGCAGAGCTGTGCCTGAGCTCTAAGCCTTGCTTCACCATGATAAACTGAGTAAGAATAGAAAGAGCCACATTTCCCTTGCTTTGATCCCTGGCCCATCTCCATGGGCAAGGACTAACTAACGTGAACTGGTCCTGATGCTGTGCAGGACCATTCAGTGTGATTAACTCCAGGTGAGAGCCAGCCTGAGCAGAGCTGTGCCTGAGCTCTAAGCCTTGCTTCACCATGCAGATGTTACCAAACCCCAGCTTTAACCTGGGGGTTTCAGCCCTGACAGAGGAGGCTGATACTGTGTGGCTGCCTGGCTGTTCACCTGCCTCGTGGATTTTTCAGAGTGCTCTTCCAGCCAGGCTGGGACTTTGGTGCTGCCCTGGCTAGGATGCTTTTGATGTCCAAGTGAGCTGGGGGAGAGGCATCCCCCACACCACCTGCAGTCATGGTTTCCCTTCTTCCATCTTTCCACCTGGTGGCTCAGGCTGTGGCCAGGGGCTGCACAGGCAGTGCTTGATGTGCTTCACTGGACACCCCTGTTGAAGAGGAGTGCCACTGCTCACTTTCTATGTTACCTGGCATATAAACAAAGCCCACCCTTCACTTTCACGTCTGGATTCCTTCAGGAGGCGTCCCTGTACCACAGCTTGAGCAAGCTGAGAGGGCACCTTGTCAGCTCTGTTTTGGACTGCAGATGTAGGCAAGGCCAACAAAGACAGAGCAAGCCATCCCCAGCCAGCCTCTTTTGCCAGTTTCACTTCACTCTGAGAAGCAGAGCAGAATGAAGTTCTGATGCAATGTGCCAGATTTCAGACTACCAGGGCTCCATATTTTGCTATCAGTTTATACCTGGCAGCCATATGAAAATTTATCAGTGGCTGTATTTTGTCATAATTACAATTTTTTTTTGTATCTAAACTCATCAGATGGTTTTGGGCCAACAAATGTTCTAAAGATCGGAGGTTAGATTTTCTGTTTATCAGTGGCTGTATTTTGTCATTATTACAATTTTTTTTGTATCTAAAATCATCAGATGGTTTTGGGCCAACAAATGTTCTAAAGATCTGAGGTTAGATTTTCTGTAAGATTTTCTTGTTTTCAGCTTTTCCTGCATGGTTTGTTGTTTTTTTTTATTGTTGTTGTTTTGTTTGGTTGGTTTTTTCTGTTTCTTTATATTTTCCTGCATGGTTTGGTGGTTGTTGTTGTGGTTTTGTTTGGTTGGTTTTTTCTGTTTCTTTATTTGTTTGTTTGTTGTTTTTTTTCTCTTTGGAAAAGAAGACCAGCTCCAGCTTGTTCTGTTCCTTCTGGTGCCAGAACATTCCCAGCAGTGTTTCAGTTATCAGACATTTCATCTGTCCAGCCTGGCAGCTGTTAGGAAAAGTGATTGTGTCACATGTGCTGGCTGAGGCAGGGTGGCTGCAGAGCACTGGGAGGGTCAAGAGCAGCCTGCAGTATTCCAGGGGTGGAATACTGGGCGGAAGCTGGTTGCCCTCTCTCTCCACACTAGCAGGGAGTTGGATAAAGGATGACCTAGGAGTTTTTCTTTAGTATAGTACCAGCCAACTCACCCCCTCCCCTGATACTACTGTGAAGTTACTGAGGAAAAGAAGATTTAGAAAATGTTGCTAATAGTGGAGTGGGTTTAATTCAGATTTTGAAATCAGGTACAGTTACATTATGTATCATGCATGTTCAAGCTAGTTGTTACGGTGCCTCTTGCCACAGCCACGAATGCAGGGTTTGCTGGTTACCGTGTCTCTTCACACCAGCAGGGAGCTGGATAAAGGATGCCTTAGGAGCTTTTCTTTAGTGTAGTGCCAGCTAACTCACCCCTGATACTACTGTGAGGTTACTGAGGAAAAGAAGATTCAGAAAATGTTGCTAATAGTGGGGTGGGTTTCATTCAGATTTTAAAATCAGGTACAGTTATATTATGTATCATGCTTGTTCAAGCTAGTTGTTACGGTGCCTCTTGCCACAGCCACGAATGCAGGGTTTCAGCCAGGCATTCCCTGGGCTGTAAGGGCCTTGGAGGCTGAGAGGAGGGCACAGAGCTGGGTGAAGACACGGGAGGTTAAACCCATACAGAGCACTCCTTGGTGCCAGTATCAGAGCTAGCTGACACGAAGCTTGCATGTTTGTATTTATACGCTGCAGCCCTTCCCCACGGAGCACTCATACAGAGCACTCCGTGGTGCCAGTATCAGAGCTAGCTGACACGAAGCTTGCATGTTTGTATTTATACAAGGCTGTAGTCAGAGCTGTGACCTAGGCACAAGTAAAAACTCAGAGGGATTTGTTTTAGCAGCCCAAGTTCCACAGCCTAGGTGGGACACTGCTACCAGGTGTAGCAGTGGAACATTGGCATTTGGAAGAGATGTCACAGCTCGAAGAAGAAATGCCTTCCCAAAGCCAGGTGATGGAGAGAGATGGGAGTCAGAGAACTGAGGCTCCTAGCCCAGATCTGTTTTAAGAAATTCTCACCTTAATTCTCACCTCAATTCTGTCTCTGCTTTCCCTTCCAATTTTTGCGTATTGTTTAATTAGGTCAAAAACATTTCACATTTGAACAGGGCAAGCTCTGACCTCAGCTGAGTCCCTAAGGAGCACCACAGCACTAAGAATAGCTTCTGCAATTTAAACTGAATAATAAATGAATGTTTTCACAGTGGCTGGGAACAGGCTGTAGGAGATGTCACTCACTGGGAGCATGCACTTGTGCTCCAGGATCAGGGAGATAAGAACTGCCTTGCTGTATCCAGCAGGACTGTGTGAGAAAAGAGAGCAGAGACAGCACTGCTATGAGTGCAAGGCCTTGGGAAGTGAGGGCTCCTCAGCACTGCCATGCTGAGAGAGTGCTACAATGGGGACACTCCTCTGGCCTTGTTGTGCTCTTCTTGGTTGTCATGGTTTAGTGGTTGCCCTGTGCTGGCTACCAAACATTAAAGGTCTTGTCTGGCTTCTATCTTTTTATTTCGTTTCAATGCGTGAAGCTAAAATAGTCTGCCTAAGCATCGTGCCTGGGGAGAGCATGCAGCATCCTGGGAAGCAGCACCACAGCTTGGGTGTGCCTCCTCAGCTGTTGCCAAATCCCTGTCATCATTTGGAGTGCCGGATTTGGCTGTATCTGGCACACTGTGCCATCCACACACTGGCTGGCATGAATATGATGTCCCCAGTTCCTTCCAGCTCAAGGAAGAAGCGGATGTTCATCACCTCCTCTGAAACAGAGTGATATCTCACTGTGAAGGTTATATTATTATGGCTTCTCCCTATTTCACTGACCCAACATCATCTCATAAATTTCCATGCAGCTGTTCCTCTGTTAATCATAGTATCATAGTGTGTTAGAAGGGACCCCAAAGACTGGCAGGGACACCTTCCACTAGACCAGGTTACTCAAAGTCCCATCCAACCTGTCCTGGAACACAGGGATGGGACATAATATCAATTTATTGCTTTGCATTGTTTGTATCAAAGAGCTCTTTATGCTCTTTCTGTTCTGCACAACACCTTGCATTACAGCATCTTGTCCATGAGGAAGTCCTTTGGTGCTACCATACTGGAAATAATAAATTTTTTAAAAATAATTTAAATAATGTTATTATTCTCAGTAATTCCAAATGAAGACTGGTATGTAAGTGACAGAGCTCTCACACTTGAGCAACACACTTAACTGCATATTTCATTTCAGGAAGCAAATTACCTAATTTTTGTCTGCACAAGTCTGTGAGGAGCACATGTATTCTCAATACTTTTACAGACTTGACTGTGTTTCCTAAAAACACCTTCTGTTTTTCAATAACTCCAGCTTCATTAAGCTGGCTATGGAGGTCTGCCTGCATATTTTTTTTTCTTCTGGTTGAACATAAAAGTTTAATTAAAACCACTCTGAGAAAACTGGGAGCAGGTTTGCAGTCAGGACAGACTCAGTTGGAGGCCTTGGAGGTTTCATTGCAGAAACCATCAAACTATTGTCAGCAGCAGTTTTATATGATGTTCTTCGGTGTGCCACTGGCTTATCTCAGCCTCTGAAAAAACACACAAAAAACTAAACCCCTCTTAGCATGTTTCCAGGTTATCAGTTTAACACTGAAATTTCTTGATGGCTCAACAGTCATCAATTAGACCATCTGCAAGGAAAAAGCTGGGACAACTGATACTCTCTCTTTTTGATGTCATCTATTGTTCTCACTCATTGATTCAAGGTCTCACTCAGCAATTCAAGGTGATTATTGTATTGCTCCCAAAGTATAGTATATTCTGCCTATGTCTTGGTTTTACTGCCTTTCACTCCAGTTTAACTCCTGGCGTAATTTTGGCAAGTAATTTTATTTTATTGAAGGTTTCAAATTACAGTTAAGCACTGAAATCCTAGAGACCCCTCTCTATAAGCCTTTAGTAGACAGAATTCCTGTTAAAGTTAATGAGAATGCTGCCTTTGCAGCCCAGTTCAGAAAAGCATATGTGCACAGCAGCTCCAGTTTGGTACACTTGTTTCCTGATATGTATGTACTGCAGTGCTTTGCTGTATAAGAAACCTGCCTGAAGGGTAGTTATGGTGAATAATCAAGGCACACATGTTGTTCTGTGGTTGAGCACTGTAGATACTCATAAATCAGCACTTTAGAATTATTAGGGTCAGAAGGGACCTTTAAAGATCAAGTGGTCCAATCCTTCTGCCTTAGGCAGGGGCACTTTCCACTGCAAGGTTGCTTCAAACCCCCTCCACCCAGTTTTGAACACTATCAGACACAGGACATCTACAGCTTCTCTGGGCAACCTTTTCCAGTGTCTCACCATCCTCACAGCAAAGCATTTCTTCCTTATACATAAAAGAAGTCTCTCCTCTTTCCCTTTAAAACTGTTACCCTTTGTCCTACCACATACCCTGGCAAAAAATCTCTCTCCATCTTTATAAACCTCTTTTAAATACCAAAAATTTGCAAAAAGGGCCTTTTCTTTTCTCTTTAAACTAAACAACCCACATGTCAGAGTATGATTTGCAGTATGGGCATTACCTTACAGTTGGCTTGAAAATAACCTGCCTCCTTTGCAATAGTCTATGGGATGTAGAATGAGGCTAGAAGGGATACACAGAAAGTAGTTTGGGTACTTTACCTGGGATGTGCCTCATGGGTTAAAAACTGGCAAACAAAGGCACACCATGCAATCACCTCTGCTACGTCACCTGTGCCTGTAGGACAGTCTCTTGCTCCTTTAACATTTTGGCCTGGAGCTTCCATTCTGCAGCTTGGTTCAGGAGCTGTGTTTTGGGCAACAGAGAAAAAATTGTTAGGTCCCCAGATTACCAGCTGGAAATCCTCATCTTTCAGCTACTCATGTTACTGTGATAAGGAGTGGTCTAACTTTCAGGTGAATATAGTTAGAGCAGTTAGGTAAGGCAGACTATTTAGTTTTATCCTGACACATGGGACAGGCTATTTGCATTCCATAGGCATATTTGAATAGGAGTTCAAAACCTACTTGGAATTAAGTGTGCAGTACAGTGGCCTATGAAAAGTGCGGTATTTAACCACATCTTCACCAGACCTCTAGAAAATGGTTATGATACCTTCTGGCACATTCATTTCAGCACAGCTCCAGCCAAATTCCTGCTCTGTAGTGAATGGCAAACTTCCTTTCACATTAACAACCATGAGTTAGCATGTGGGGATGGTCACAGTCAGACCTGCATCAAAAAATCTGGGAGTTTTCAGGAACCCAGTGCATAGCAAATGTCATACATTTACTGCTGTCTGTTATCTTTGGGCTCTGTTTGCACTGGCAAATGGAGAATTCCAGCTCAGGGTGATAAATGTCTCAGGTTAAGTTGGCAGTCCAGGAGGAGCTTGACTGCAGTTTCTTTCCTGATTTCTCCTGGTTAGGTGTGCTTCCCTACTCCAAGGTGTTTGGCAAAATCACATTCTGAAGGGCAGGCTGCAGATAAAACAGGTGGAGGATTGGTCAAGGCTGTAGGAATGGTTTGGTCAAGAAGGAACTGTAGGAATGAGGTTTGCAGAGACCTTTCCTGGCTACAGTTCTGAGTCAGCACTTCCAAAGTATACAGTAATATTTTAGCAATTGGTTTAATCTAAAAGCAGGAAACATTTACCAGGGTGTTAAAGAAATGTCCCTGTTGTCTCCCAAACATTTATAAAGTGTTTTATTAGTCAGGCCAAATATATTTTAGAAAAAGAATGCTAATGATAGCTTGAGAAATGAGACACAAAGAAGTTATTTTACCACAGGATTTTGCTCTGTTGGATTAAATTGAACTCTAATTGTACTGTAAATTGTATTTAAAATAGCACAGCTGGGCTCTGAAAATATATTGATAATTAAAAGGACTGTGTACGTCAGTGGATCTTATACTGGAAGTGAAAGGCAAGTAGAAGCACATGTAGAAAATATATTTGATCCCCAGTAAAAACGTTTATTCTAACCATTTTATTGGAAATAACACATGTATACCATGCAAATACCACCTGGTAAAAGAGCTGAGGATGAACCTTAAAATGCTGACGGTCTCCAGCTATTTGTGGCATAGAGCCTGTCTGAATTAGATTTGCTGTGTATATCAAGATATGTATATTGGCTCTAGAAAAATATTTCTTCCATCAATTCGGCCCTTTGATTTGCACCCACTGAATTTTTACCATCTAAAATTTCCTAGACTTTTTTTTTTTACAGCTCAATTATGAAGAAATGATGTGTTGTACTAATTTTATACCTGCTTCTTAATATTTATTTTGAGAATTTAATTTGATGTTTGATTTCATGGAGATAAGTCAAGTTTTTTAATTCAGGTCTTGTTGATTAAAATTTGAAATAGGATATGCCATGGCCAGTAAAAAGAGTTAGCACAGGTTAAATGAGCATCAGTTTTTGCATTTATTTTCTCAAAAAAACCCCAACCAATTTTTAAAAAATCTGGATGAAATCTGATTTTTAAATTTCACCTTTCTTTGATACCTACTTTTTTTAGAGTATCTTTTAGAATTTACAGGGTTTGAATGATTTAATGAAAGTGCTTTGAAAGCCTTCAGAGCTACCCAGTCCCTAGGCCAGTCATTACTTCTAAGGACTGGACTTATATCTGAATTGCTTTAATCTCAGCTAGGGTTACCTCCATACCCAGTGTGACTGGAATAACAAAAAGGTCCCACCTCCTCCACCATGTCTTTGGCCACAGCACAACAGATGGACAGAGAAGGCAAGGAAAAGTTGCTTTTTTTGCCTCTTAATGAAATCCCTCTCTCTTATTGACCCACATAACTTCTGCAGTCAGCAAAATCCAAGCATTAATAAACTCTTCTGTAATGGAAGCAAGCCACAGAGAGGCTTGCTCAAATTAGCACACGTTCTTATGCAGCCTGCGGTCATTTGCAAACACCAAGCTGGGAGAAAATGAATCAGAACTGATACATTTATTAATAGACTATGAAGTGGTAACAAGGAGGCTGAAGTATCAAGAAACGAATAAATATTGCATGTGGTGTTTACAGAGCAGCACTTTAGTGAGGGGTGGTGATTCTACACTCTATTATTAGAGCTATGGTAGCTGCTGGAGGCCCAGACAGTCACAGGGGCTAGCTTAGTGAAAATTAAGCTTCCCTTTTTGCCGTCAGGCTCTGTAAATTCCAATTATGTAGTGCTGACCAGTTGTGGGATGATGATCAAATTGCATCCTTAGGTCAAGCTGTCCCTTTGTGGAAACCACACATTAGGAACCACTGCTGCTTCAATAGGGAATTGCATTATTTGCTGCATATGTAGAGTGAACTGTGCAAACAATGAGATGACCTTCTTTTGAGGCGTACATGCTCTGCAAGACAGATCGTCTCTCATTTTCTGAGGTAAAGAAGTTTTGCATAGGGGCAAGGATTCCCACATGGAAGAAGTGCATGGGAAGGCATCAAAGTGAGCCTTCAAAGAGTAATCAAATAAATGAAAGCATACAATAATTTTCATTTAAGAACACTTGCAAAATTCTGCAGCAAAGGTCATGCACAGGGATGAGAAAATTCTATGGCGAGAAAGGTTCTGAAAGCTGTTCTAACTTTGCACATTACTGAGCTGGTGAGAGTTATAGCTAAGTGAGAGAACTCCATCAAAAGCACCTTGATTTCATACATACATGTATATACATTACTCCCACAGACACTAGCACAATAGCTGGGTGGGTGGGACTAAGAGCACATCAATAGAATGGAGGTGGGAGCCAAGTGTAGGCCAGCTCTCTGGGTGCTGGGCTACCTGTGACGAATTGTGACATGCCTAATTATGCCTTGACTCATTGCATGGCTTTTGGCCTTAATTTCTGCAGCTAAATCTACCTTGCTTGGAGGTGATGTTAGCCATACATCACCAGCCTACCTCAAGGACAGGATTTTTAAGCATTCATTTGGACAATGGGAAAAATATTCCTTGTACACTGTGCGTACCATTATACACCCACTGCGTAAAGGTTTTTGGCTTGTTTTCAAACCTGTTATTTCTTACACACAGCAAAGCCCAAAAGAAAATCTTGGGCTCCCAATTATAGACAATGATGACTTTCAGTGCTTTAAAAGAAATGAAAATACCAAATCTGTGCATACCACTTCTGGATAATACATACGAAGAAGTTTTGGCTAAAACAGGGACAGTCAGAGATGACAAGCAGCCCCAGAATTCATGTTCTGAGAGGTGCAGCATGAAAGGTTATTGACACAAGGCTGTATATGCCAGTTTTCCACAGAGACAATGCCTGGTCTTTTATATCTTTTGTTCTGAGTTTTTTTCTCCCCTCAGTATTTGAAATCTGGTACTCATTAGCAGAACTCCCAGTGACATTAGTAAAGTAAGCTCATATTTGCTTTGCCATTGTAAGTGATTTCTTTGACATCTGGAGATTTCTGGAGTTTAAATCTGCCAAGAATCAATGGTCATGAATGAAATTTTGAGGTTTGGCTTTATGTAGGTTCCAGAGTGAAGGAGAATTAAGTCAGCTGGACTACAAATTGTCATGCAGTGATGTGCAGATTTGCATAGAGAAGCCCCAGCTCGTTTTCACCCTCACTCTTTAGCAGGGAGTAAAACAGAGCAGGAGTGGGTGTTCCAGCTGCAAGATAAGTGCAGAGAAAGAGGATAAATGCTCTTATGGACTGCTTTTGGTAAGAGGTGTATGCTGTGTTTCCATTGTGCTCTAACTACAAGACTTAGAGCCCCATGTTTTCATCTATTTTGAGTATTTCAAGATACCCGTTAGAGCCATGCTTGTGCTAATATATCTGTTTCCAGATATGGGGAAGGGATAAATGTCCTCTCTTGATAGAAATCTCTCATGCTGCTCCCGAGTTAGCTGGAGGACTGGTAAAAACTAAAGCTTTCTTCCAGCTGATGAGAGCCTGTCACTCCCTCTGAGAGCTACTGCCTCCACGGAGAAGAGGGACTATGTGCCTGCATTGAACTCCGATCCTTTGTAGCTGTGAAAATACCAGGCAGTCTGAGAAAATTATTTTAGTCTGGTTGAGTCACAAAATGTGTGAGACTACAGATGGAGGAGTGTCCTCCTTCCATCCCAGATGTGCCTGCAGAAGACACCGCTCCTGCTTTTCCCTGTCCCCCTGCTAGAGATGTCCCCGCTTCCAGAAAGGGAGGAAGAGCAGACAAAGCTGATAAATGGATCCAGACCCTGCCTGCCTGAAAGAGGCACTGGAAAACCAGTACAGGGAGGGAAACAGTGAAGGGAAGGCTTTGTAAGAGCAAGTGGCTCCTGTGGATTCCTCCATGGCAAAAGTGGATCCATGGCAGGATGCCTGGGGAGCCTGGAAACTGGGGTTATAGCAGCCTTCAGCCATTTCACTTCAATCCCACATTCTTGGGCTCCTCTCTGATGGCTTAGATGTGTGCATTCATTGTGTGGGGAGATGGAGTACCAAGTACCAGAGACAACTGAAAATCAATGGCACCACCTGACCCAACATCACGATGCACCAACTGCACAGTAACAGTGAGTTAGCTGAAGCAGTCTGGGCTCTAACCCACTGCTCTGCAGCATGCCTCTAAAACTGTAAATGCCAATGAAAGCAGTCTTTCAGAGGCTGTTCCTTCGCACTGAACACTGACGGTAGCCAAAAAAACTTCTCTGCTACTGTACACCAGATTGGACCTGAATATATTAGTGAAATAGCAGGCAGGGCTTGTTTTGGCCTAAAGCTAGATAAGAGACAGACAAATTAGAAGGATAGGTACATACATATTCCTTCTCTTTCTGGTGTCGCTCTTCGGCTTCCTTCATCATTTCCTGAGACTGTTCCAACTTGGCATCCACCAGTTTCTGTTGAAGTTCTCTGTGCTTAAATATTTTGTCAAGGTGCTGGAAAAAAAAATCTGCTGAATGTGCAGGTTTAATTATCTACATAGATGTTCATGCTTGAACATGTACAGCTATTTACTGGAACATTTAAAAGACAAAATCATTGCAAAACAAGAAGACATTCCTATTGCAATTACTAAAAAGTTACAGTTCTGATAACATTAAAATGTTAACAATAAAAATGAATTAGCATGGGAAGGGAAGCTGGTATACATTATCAATTTTGATTTATTGGAAGGAAAAAAAAAGCCTTAGTATCTTTGCCAGTTCTAAGATCTATATATGCGGTCATCAGTACAATCTAGTATGACTGAAGATCAAATAATTGCTCATCAATAATAAATATGCTAGGGACACACTTTTTTAGCTGTTAAATGGCCAGTGGATCTAAGCCACAGTGTGGATAATGGTGTACTCCTATTGCAATTACTAAAAAGTTACAGTCCTGATAACAATAAAATGTGCCAGAATTAGCATGGGAAGGGAAGCTGGTGTACATTATCAATTTTGATTTATTGGAAGAAAAAAAAGCCTTAGCATCTTTGCCATTTCTAAGATCTATATATGCGGTCATCAGTACAATCTAGTGTGACTGAAGATCAAATAATTGCTCATCAATAATAAATATGCTAGGGACACACTTTTTTAGCTGTTAAATGGCCAGTGGATCTAAGCCACAGTGTGGATAATGGTGTAGATGCATTGCACCTACTTGGGACCACATGCACAGCCCATGGCATCCTCTGTGTAAGTACAAGCCCTGCACATCCCCTTTGGTCTGGACAAATCTGTGTAATGGAGGGCCTGGGTGACAGGGCATGAGTGGGGATCTGGAGCTAAGACCAAACAAACCAGAGGCCTCCTCTAGCCTGTAAAATGTCTGCCTCCATGGTGACTTTCAGGAGATAAATGTTGCTGATAGCCTTCTTCACTCTTAATTCACTTAGATAAAATGCATAGGAGCAATTATTCTGTGTGTGTCCCTCTGGTTTACATTTTCTTCTCGTAGACACCACAAGAGAGGAATGTACATTTCCTTCATTCAGTATAGGAATTCATACATGATTCAACAGATTTGGAAAAGCAGGTATTGTATCAGTCATTCCAGATTGTAAAGATAGATAACTTATGTTTTATTCAGTATGGTAATATTGTCTGATTGCACTGAGGCTCACAGTAAATGTATTTAGAAACTATAAAAAGACCCATTGTGATATTTGTTGATGTTTGCCATATAATAAAAAAAAGGGTAGTTTGGGATTTTACTGGAGGATTTTTTCTGGTGTCAAAATTTAAAAAAAAAGAATCTATTTAAACTCAAAGGGTCTACTTTGTCTGTCATCCTAATTTTCTGCTTTTGGGAAAGGGTCAAATAGTTTACCTCAGAGCCCTTCTCAGCAACCTGCTTCTAGAGGGAACAAAATATATTTGTTGTCACCTGCAGAACAGGCTGCCTAAAGGAAAGGGAGATGGGATGTACCCAGAGGGAACTTTGTGGGAAGGAGGAAAGGGATGCTGGGGGAGGTCCCCAGGGATTTGGGGGAACTATGATGGGGTTGGGCCAGCTCAGCAGTCAGCTGGCACAGCTTGGGTGCCTCAGCCCCTCTCCCCACCGCGGCAAGGCTGCTGTGTCTGTCCATCACAGTTCCATACCGCAGAGAGCAGAGGGCTTGCTGCAGGCACGGTGCTGCTCAGGGGGCAAAGCATGGTGGGGGCTACCCTGTGAGACAGCCGAAAGATGGCCAGGCTGCTGGCAGTGCCTCCTGCTTGCCTTGGGACTGCCAGGTGTGCTGCCCATCCCAGCCAGCGGCCAGGGCACTGCTCACCTCTTCCCGCAGCTCATACTGGTCAATGATGCTCTTCAGCTTCTCTGCCAGCTCCGTGTTCTCCTGGCAGAGCTTCATGTTCCTCTCACTCTGCTGCTCAATCTGAGCCTGGATTTCACTCAGTGTGCCCTGGAAGTGATTAGTTATTTCTTTCCTCTTCTCATCTTCCTCCCGTGCCCGCTGGATTGTTTCCTCCTGTTGTTAAATGGGAGAGAACACAGTAAGTGAGAGGCATAATAAGCAGTTCCAGAAAAATACTGTTTCAGAGTAGCATAAGGCTTCCCTTTGAAGGATTATACGTGTTTGCATTCCTCTTTGGAGATTTTCTTGCTTTCATCTGCTCCAGCATTAGGCAAGATTCTAAATTTACAGAGCCAATTACACAGTGGCCTTGAAAAAATTAGGGAACTAAGAATTTGCATTTATAAAGATGGATGTAGAGCAGAGCTTCAGGTCAAAGCGAGCCTGAAGGAGAAGACATACATGAATGACTTGATTCATGATATGGCATCACACCTTTTTCTTTGGAAAAAGATATTTAGTGGAAACAGTCAAAAGCTCTTTTATCAAAATTCTCTTTGACTGAATTTAAGGAACAAGGAATCTTCATATCAAATTCATGGCCCTTAGGAATTAAATTTTCAAGAGAAATCCATCACTTGCTGAAGAATCCCTTCCAATTCCTCAATTTCCTTCCCTAAGTTTTTAACTGACATAAACATTTGCACTAATTTACTAGCTAGTGAATTCAATGAAAGCTTTTAAGCTGTTTCCTACAGAATTAAAGCAGACATCCAGATTTAATTTTTTCCCTATTATTGAACTTCTGTTTTAGATTTGTTTAAATAAAAGACAATGCAGAAAGGATCTGGATTCATTGCTTTGGATCCAGTAATGCAGACTATTTTTATTCCTGCCTCATTTTCTCCCAGGGCAGCCTGCCCTTCTGGGGAAGGTAATCCTGATATAGAATTGCTAGACCATATCTGCTGTAGTTACAAATCAGGCCAGGACCATGTTAAAAACTCACTCCCCAGCATGCAAATGGCATACTCTAATAAGGTTTCAACTATCATAGTAATTTGCATAAAAATCTCTGGTAACACTGCATATGGATATTTTCTATAAATATATTTGAATAAAGCCTTAGCTGACTCTAATAAGGTATAATTTGTATCATGAATGTGACACAGCAGGCGTTGATTTGGGCCCTGCTCATAAAGAAAGGTGAATACCAAACAACCCAATTTCTGCTTTGCATGCACAACACGAGCCTGATCTAGGACAGCTGCTGTTCAAGGTAGGGCATGTTTGTCCTTTCACTGTCCGGGGAGCGATAGGGATGCCAACACCTTGGATGATGGGAGGAAAGCAATGAAGCCATTAATAACACCCTGGTGCACAGAAATTAATAATACCCTGGTGCACAGAGCCCTGCTGTGCTCTGCAGTTCACACAAGAACCTGTGTGTGTATTCATAAAGAGTAATACAAAGTGTGAACCCAGAAGGACTCTCTCTCCTAATAGGAAGGAAAAATTTCATGTAGAACTGGGCAAATGACTTGGGGGTTTTGGTCCCGGTTCAGTATCCGGCTTGGAAATTGGACTTCCAGAAAATTTGCATCAAGATGAAAGAGAAGCTCTCCAATTTTTCTTTTCTCAGTTGGTGAGAATGATTTTGAAACATTTTGCTTAACCAGCAATAGAGCTGTTTGTAGGTATTTTTTGTTTAAATTCTTTTAGCAGAAGAATGACCTTCCAAAATAGAGTTAAAAAATGCTGCTCAGAAGACGTCTTAGATCTATTGCTTTAGCATTCCCGAAAGGAAACATTTAATTTTCTTTTGAAAGGGCATGTTTACAAACAATGTCATCCTTTTTTTTTTTATTTGAAACTTTTTCCAAATTTGACTTGAATTCCTGGGTAGTTTAGATTAAGTCAGAATTCAATTTTATCTCTAATACACTGTTTAAAAAACTCCTCATGCCTTTTAGTTCTCCATTACATAGGTGCAGCCCTGAGCAGGCAGAAGAGTGCAGGTGCTTCACTTCCAGAAGTCAGAGTGAGAAATTTAACTTGCATGTCTGAAGTTGTCTTGCTGTGGCTTCAAAACATCCTTCCTCAAAACCATTTTATTGTTATAATGCAGGTAGCCTTATAATGTGTCACTACTGTGATTAAAGCTCTCCAGAGTAATAAGTCCATATGAATATAAACCAAGAAAGGTGGATTGTGCATATGTCATACCAAACAGTTCTGTTACAAAGTGAAACGAGACATCCTGAGACTACCAATCATGCAAATGTAAAAAACCCAACCCTCTGCATACATCTTACTCAGAAGATCTTATTTCCTGCTCTTCCAAGGTAGAAAAATGATACAATACAGAGCACAATATAAAGATTCATGGTTAAAGACACTGAGCCAGCCAGCATTTATTTGCACGATGTAGGATTTCTCTGTATCTGTTCTGCTTTGGAGAAAAATATACTTGAGAAGGATATTTGCTTGGGATGGGAGCTGGTATGTGTCCTGGGGAGCTCTTCAGAGGCCCTTATTTGTTAAATCCTTGAGATCCCAGTCACGGATTAAGGGGAACTAGCTGAGCAGAAGGACAACATTGTGGCTACAGCACTGAGTAGAGCCCAGCCATAAACTCTTGTTTTCTTTTCTCTGCCCTTTCTGAACCTTTGCACTCCCTGTTTACCCTTTCAAACATATGTTCTTGTCCTAGTGCAGTACTGCTTTTGCTCTCATGTTTTGCTGCCAAGAATGTAAGATTGCTTTGAGTAAAACCTTGTTAAAATTAAGACAGGATATTTTGCAGTTTGGGATTTAGCACAGAAATGTGAGATCATTTGTGAACAGAAGACTGTGATTGATACTGGAGTTGTTCTTGTGCCTCTCTGGGGCAGTTCCAGAAGACTATTGGTCTGCTGAAGCCATATCAGCCAAGATGATATGAGCGAGGAATCCTTTTTTCAATGAGCTGTGCTCTTCATTCCCAGGCACCACGGTCTCAGCCAGTTTGGAGCTGAGCCCATAACTAAAGCTGTTTACTTTTGTGGCAGCATTAAGCAATGACTTTCATTTGTATGAAAGTCATTGCTTAATGCCTGGTGGCAGGGAGGACGAGGGACCTGAGATGTTCATGTCACTACAAGATGCTAAGTAGCTACCAAACTGTCAGATAATTGGCAGAACATGAACTCCATGCAGAGAAATGAGTTGCTGTTGCTCTTAGCAGAGCTGCTCTTTATTGCAGTGGGAACACATTCCACTATTTCACAAACCTTTATTCTGCTTTTCTTGGAGGGAGAGTTAAACATCTGTGTAACTGCAAGGAAATAATCAGAGTAGCTGGACTGTATGTAAGGGAGAATTTGAGGCTGGTATCCAATACTAACCAGAAATTTTTCTCCTCTGATCTGTCCTGTGAATTTTCAATGCAGCTTTGCATTGCATATTCATCACCACTTGGCTGCATGGTTCTGCAGTTAATGGGAATTCCACACACCAGATGAGTGAAGATGACATTTACATGACATGATGTGCATATAATGTACCACATGGTAAGTCAGAGGGGGTTTCTGATCTGGGCAGGCCAGCTTCCTCCTTTGCTAGCTTCTATTTTCCACGTTTGAAACATAATCAAACTGCTAATCCCAAGTACTAAAAAATTATGACTCTCTGTCCTGCCAAAACCAAAATAAAAATATTTAAGCATAAGATTTTAAAAATACCATTTGATGGATTTTCTGGTTTTGGGCCCTCTCAGTACAGTCATAAGTGAAAGAAAATTGCACTCATATAAATAGAACATGAGTTTCTGGACATTCACAGATTTCCAGGAGCTAAAGCATAAAGGCATATATTCCAAGAACTATGCTAAAATTCTTAGAGAGACAAAACTGGATAAAGATAATGAATGCCTTTGTTTCTTACTTTATTTCTCATGCAATCTGCAAGTGTATTTTGTCTTACTGTCTTATTTAATTTTGGGGTTTTTTTTACACTGATAGCATGAGAACCAGAGGAAAGATAGTATTCTGGGTTTCTTAAAAGGTCTCCCAATTTTTAGAAAGAAGTGATGAAAATGTGAACATTTCTTCCTAATACCAGATCACCTCAGGCATATTCCCTGGCTCAGCTAGCAAAGATACACAATAAAAATAAGAACTGAGCCTGAAGTTTATAGGTTAATTTAGAGAACTTAGTCACAAAGTAAAGTAGTCCAAGAGGTAAAAATATGTTGAAAAGAGACTTTCCTAATTGTAAAGATGAAATGTGTAAGGAAGTATTTATATTCAAAGAGAATGGAAAAATCATGCTCTGTCTTAGGAAGATTAATAAGCATAACGTAGCTGGGAAACTGTATGAGGAAATCAACAAAATTTGTTCCAAATGTTTTCCAAATAGGATTAGTTGCCCCAGTCTTCACTGATTTGTTCCACCGATATGATTTGCTTAGGAATATCAGTTAAGTCTATGCAAAGCACTGTACACTGTATCCTTAATTCACTTTAAATCTGGCTTGTATTTCTTTTGAAAGATTTTACCCACAGGTGGCCTGGTAAATCACTGTGGATCAATATTGAGGAATAGCTCAGGTCTAATACAAATGACAGGTACAAATTTAATTTTCACTACCAGTTCTGCATGACTATAACTGAGCACTGAGAGATTTGCTTCTAGATTCCCTATGTGTTAAACTGCTTTTATCCTTCTGCTAGGACATACACTAGTTTGAGTGTATGTGTAACTATTCCCTCTCCCAGCTGTATTCTTAACAGCACACAATGAAAGTCAGAGCAAGACCCTGAAGGCCCACTCCTGAGCCAGTGGAAATGAATGAAAATGCATTACCAGTAATAGAGGTTATATCAGGTGGAATTCTTGCTGCTGACAATTCCTATGAGTAATTCTATGCATAACTATATCCCCATAAAGAAAGGGCTTGAATAGATCAAAGCAGAGGCCTTTTGTATACTAATACCAACACTATCACTAACATGCACTCAGAAAAAAAAGGATGATCATAACAGAAATATTCTTCTTGAACATACTTTTTTCCAAGGAGCATAATCATATTATAAATTACACATTTAAGTGGCGTGATGCACCAAGCAATTGGCAGACATGGTGTATGGATCCCAGCATTTTGATACTCCTGAAAATTTTCTCTTTTAACTGATTCTCATAATCCAAACAACTTCCACAAATAATGTTGGCATTTTTTCTGTCTTGACATTTGGTGTCTTTAGGCAAATGTCCCGACTGACTGACCCTCACACATCACTTGAAAAAGTGCAAGTGCTTGAATTACATCAAAACACCCACCAGCCTCCTGTGAGTCCACTGGAGCAAAGCTGGTGTTCCTGTGGTTCTGTCCATGCATGTGCACTTGATCTGCACTCTGAGGGACGTGGTCTGTTAGCCTCACTACTCTGCAGTGAGCTCCCTAATAATGCAAGGAGGGAGAGCTTAGAGCTAGTGTGGGCAAACCCAGTGTCCAAAAGTGCTGGGATATTTTCAAATGAGAAATAAAGGGGTCTTGGTGTAAACGGACCTCAAGATCAGAGTGTATATATAATTATTATATATTGCATGTGCAGATGCAAAAATCCCTCTGATTTGGTACTAGAGGGAGATGGCAAGGTGTCAACATCATCTGTCCCCTCACTTCTGGGTGCTGTGATGAGGCTCCCACTCACCTTGAGGTTCTTGTTGTGCCTCTGGAGCTCCCGGCACAGGCTCTCGAGCTTGCTGCGGGCAAGGATGGCTCGGCTGTGCTCACTCTGCAGCTGGTCCTTCTCCTTGGTGATCTGGGCCTGTCTCTTCTGTAGATACTTTAGCTTTTTCTGCTCAGCGCGATGTTCTTCAAGCTGGGCAAAACGGGGATTAAAACAGGGAAACATTGATTAAAATGAAACAAAGAGGGATAGAAAAGAATAGAAAATTAGCTCTTTTGGTTTGGGGAAAGAGTTCACATTTTCTTACCCTCTTAAGAAATCTTTTCCATTTATCATCTCTAATGTGATAGGAGAAAAGAACCTGGAAATTCCCAAGTCTGCTTGCTGCAACAGTCCCAAGTGTGCTGTACTGTGGGCGAACATAATTTTTTAACATTCTTAAATCACCATTTTAGCTCTTCCTTCTTCGGTTTGAATTTCTTTGAAGGACATCTATGAGGTTTTTATTTTTGTTTCTACATTTGGAACTAGAGGAGTCTAGTGTCTACTACTAGAGAGTAGGGCTTTATGTGGTGAGATTTCTCCAGATCATGAGGTGATACAGTAGCTGTTAATCCTATTTTATTTTTCCTGAAAAAGAAGCAGTTTCCTAAATATCCGGGAACCCGCTGGACAAAACAACAGAAGAGGTGCTGGAGACCAGGAACGCTGTTCATGTGGGGGCTTTGTTGCCGATGGAGGAGAATTCTCTTCAGAGAAGGGTTTCCCAAAGTGTCATGTGCCAGATTCCTCTGGCTGACAGGACCATGTGAGAGCATCTGTCAATTGTGTTTCTGAAGGTCCTGTCATCAGTGAGGGTGGGTCATGGCACATCAAACCTCTTTTGGGCTCTTTGTCTCTGTATAATTCCTGCAGGAAACACAGACAGTCCCTGATGTTCCCTTGGGAGCCTGCTGTTCTGTGGGTGCATGACTCCTGCCTTCCCTAGAAGGCTGGTAGGGAGTGGAGTGTATTTAGAGGGGGCAAAGAGGACCAGCAACACAACTGATAATAGTAACCCATGCAGTCTTGTTTCTTTTGATGCGTGTCCATCACTGGATGTTTCAAAAAAAATTCCTGTACTGTAAATTAACACCCTAACAATAAGGTCAAAGAAGTCTTTCACCTCTGAAGCTTTTAATGATTTCACCTTCTGTTCCAACACACAATAACCCTCCTCACTGTATCACAGATGTGCATACATTACAAGGTATTTCTGAAGTCCAGATGTTTTCTGATCAAAAAATGGTAGCACATGAGCTTAAACATGCAAACCTTAATAATAACAGTTGCTGTTAGGACTACACTATCTAATGATATGTTACCACTTGTACTAGTTAACCCCAGTATGACTGGGAAAGTCTGTGAGCACTGGGGAATGATGTGCAGCTCAAACAAGACAGTCAACAGCATCATATTTTACATTTTCATCTGTTTTCTGCAGATGTTCAGTAATTTATGCTTACAGTTGAGAGGTCGATGCATTATTAATCAAATCACAGCTAAGTGTACCACAAAACAATGCTCTCACCAGCTTGGAGTATATTTACAGTTTATGTCCAACTTTTAACAGGTATATTGTCTACTTTTGCTCCTGTACATCACAATATGGGTATTTGCATCTAATCAAGTTGCACTAGCTGAAATAATTTTTCTAGTACTGTAGGAAAAGAAATTTCTTTTCTGTATTTAAGGCTGAGATCTTTTTTCTTCATAAATTTGTTTTTGTCCCCTTCCCTTTTATGCTGAAAAACAGAGAAAGTGTTCTTTCTTTTTGCTCCACATTTTGCATGCACAGCCTGTGCTCAATGGATAATGATTTATCCAAATCTCATGATTCACTCAACCTGTGCTTGAGATAGAGGGCTCAGAATAAAGTTCATCTTAATCATGATATGAAAAGTCTTCCATGCTTTTTTTTTGCCTTTTTTATCCTCCATTAATATTACTTGCACTAGAAACTTGTATCTCAAATTTCTCAGGAATATATAAGACACGGTGTTACTTTTGCAATGAAAAGGGGAATTTACTGATAAATAGGAATGCTGAAAGGGTCCCAAATCATAAATTTTTAGAATAATCATTTAAATAGAAGCTAAAATTAACTGCAAATAGGAGCAATTTTGATTTTTGAAAGCTGTCCTAGAGAAATAAACAGTCAATTTAAGAAAAAAGTTTTATCTTGATCGCACTGCAGACAATGTCAGAGCTCATATTTATTTTTTAGCGTATTGCTCTTGCACCCAGCACTTGTGAGACTTGCAGGACATCTGAAAATAATCCAGTTATAAACAATTCTGCAACAGCTGTTTGTAAGCAAAAGCTGTTGTAAACCATAGTCTGCTTTGCTAACCCAACACACCAGATTATTTGCTGGATAGTGAATGAAATGTTCTCTGCTGGCGAGTAGTGTGGCAGAGCTTGTGCCCAAATGGCTGTGCCATCTCACTTCCCCATCCCTGCTGGTACAGCTTCTACCTTCACCAGCCCATGCTCCAGCCTGCAGTGTACCCACAGTCGTACAGACTGTGCCAGAGCACAGGCTGGCAGGGACATAACATTGCTGGGTGGCCTCTTCAGCTACAGCCTGCCCCAACACTACTTGAAGCAGGGGAAGCCACTGCCAAGCACCCAGTTCCATGGAGGGGAAGCCACTGCCAAGCACGCAGCTCCATCACATCACCTTCCCCTGAGCTGTGCTGCAACAAGTGTTTGTGTCACCACACGGCTCACCAGACCAGGGAGCTGATCTGGCTGGAAAACAACTCAGCAAAAGCAAGATGTGATCTGAAGTGTGTGATGGGGATGGACAAGAGGGAGCAGGGAGAGAGGTCACAGCTACAGCCAACTGCTGACAAGCCATTAATCACCACATGCCCCTCAGCCGCTTGGAGTGAGCAGGGTAAGGCTGTCTCCCACAAGGTTTTTGTTGTATTTAAGGAATGATTTATTTCAGTGACATTGCACAGTATGTCAGAAACAAGTGTTCAGTACTTTTGTTTCAGCACTTTCTCCTGCATGGGCTACTGGCAATACAGCCCCTCTTTTATACAGTGCTGCAATGCCATTTGAATGCAGTGGAGAGTACTTTGTAGAGAAAGAAGAGCCATTTCAGTTAATCCGTGAGCATGAAGTCCCTTTAAGCATGAGATAAACTATGAACAGCTTGAACCCAATTTATGAAATCAGAGGATTTTACATGGAAAGCTAAATTTCACTTCACACTCTGATGAGACATGGACACATCTGTGCATAAAACCAATTAAAAATCAATGTTCTGCTTTGCACATTTTTCAGCACTCCACAAAGCGTAAAATGCTGCAGCCTTGTCATTTGGAAGATTTCCACAGCTTATGGTCATACAGTCTTTTGACTACAAATGAAAATATCCCTTCATCTGAAAATAACCCATCTTACGTGTGGAAGGAACAGTCAGGTAGGTGGCATTGTTACAGGAGTGACATTATGATGGTAGGGGCTTTGACTCTTCATTTCATTGTGCTGTGGCTTCTCTTACAATTAGTCTCAGTTGTCTATTATCTACTTCCTAATACAGGAAGCTTTATACCAAATCCTGTATTATTTTCATTTTGATGAAATCACCAATGCATAATTTAAAGCAATACCTACAACAGAAACATGCAAAACTCCTGGCAGGAGGTGAAGGCAGGAGCCTAGACACCAGTCTCCACTATGGGTCAGTTTGATAGATTTGCCTTTAAGTACAAATATTCTGCCTCATCAACTTTCTGGCCCAAATCTTTTTTTCCTCACTTTTTACTTTTTTTGTCTTTTTTACCCATAATTACCTGTCCATGTATTTGGATTCACTTATCAGGACAGACACTACTGGTATGTGAGGTTTGACCATGCTGCATGTCATGTATTTTTTATACCTTCTTGTGCAGGCAGTTTGTACAGAAAAGAGCCAACATTTTACTCACCAGCTCAGCATACTTCTTAAACAACAGGTCCAGCTTCTCTTCTGGAGTATTCAGCTTATTCAAACTTTGCATCAGTAAGGTGGCTTCTTTTCCTTAGAAAAAGAGGAAACAGAGATTTGATGCTAGAGATAGTTTGTAGTTGATGCACTGTTATAAAATTGGTTGTTTGATGCATGGGTCTGTAAAAACACAGGGTGAAATGAGGCATTTTGGAAAGAAAGGAATAATTTTTACTGTAAATTTCTGAGTTTTTCTTTGCCTTATAAGAATAAACACGCTAGGACTTTCCTCCACTTCAGATCTCAGTAATGGGCTTTTTTCTAACAAAAGCATTGTCTGTGAAATGCTTTTGTCCTGTGAAATCTGATTTTCATTCAATGTCTTTGCAAGATGATTAGGTTAGACACATGGCACATTTGACTGAAATAAGACTGAAAGGCCCTGGACCCCAAAAGTTCAGGAAAAGCTCTCTTTGCAAGTAAACGTGGATCAAGTCTGGTGTATTCAGCTCCTTTGCTGATAGACCCACACAAGACATCAAGAATATTAATTCAGATGTAGAGACTATGGTGTGGAAGTAAACAATCAGAGAGTGGTAGGTGCTGCCAGCCAGGTCTGGGCTACGTGATGCTCGTGTAAATCAGTTCCCTGACTTGGTGGAGAAAGCTTTTATTCCAGAGAGAGTCTAATAACTCCCTGGGTGTGCAAAGCTAAATCACTGGACAGCCATTTAGGTATTGTTTCTCCTCTGATACCTCTTGGTTTTCATTTCAGCCCCAGGTATGAACTGCAGTGCTTGTTCATCAAATACAAAGTATCCCTGACATCCCTGGAGATAAGGTTGCCTGTGGTCCCAGGGGCTTGGACATGCTTTTCCAAATATTCCTCCCTCCTGAGACTGTTATACAAAATCTGCTTTCTGCTTTGGGCTGGACATTTTCTATGTTTTTAATTCCAGTGCAGTACAGCCTCTGGAGAAAATCCTTTATTTCACACTAAATTCTCTCTACAGCATCAGCATAAATAAGTGGAAGTGAGCTAAAATCAAATCCTGGTGTGAGCTGTCACAAGGGCAGATGGAGAACTGTGTGTTGGTAAGGTTTTCACTGAGCTTGCTGAGGTACCAGTAACAGCACCAAAGCCAAGGCAGTAGAAACTGAGGAATTTTCTTCTGGATATTCAAGAATTTTTGAGGAAGAAAATCCATTCCATGTCCTATGCTTAGTCCCTTGTCTGTAAGAATGTGCTGTAGTGATTCCTTTACAAGTTTAGTCTGCATTTGGGTTTGGGTTCTCATGCAAAGGAGAGGCTCGAAGATTGGCTGGAGTTAAATGCAGGAAGGGAAATAATTTACATCTATATTAGATTAGAATGTAACTACATTGCTCTCTAGTGGCTGCCCAGCAGAAAGTACATGAATACAAAAACTTGCTAAGACTTCTTTCTAGCTCAGCTGACAGCCCTGCCAGGGCTGAGGTGTTAGAGAACAAATGTATTGGCTTATTTCATATATATTATATAATGAGTCCAGGGGTTTACTAAATGAAAAATAACCTGGTCATGACAGTAAATTTATTCTGCAAGTCCCCATGCCACATAGTAGCACCATTATGACTGTTGTGACCAGTGAGTAGTCATATCTGAGCAGACAGGAGAAGAAAATATTCACTAAGGTACAAATGAAAGGCTAGGTTTTTCTTCTTCTAAGTGACTTTGAGTTTGTCATTGGACTGACAGCTTTGGCTAACCAATGTGGGTGGCCCAGTAGTATATCAGTGTTGTATGATACAACATTTTTTTTAAGAACTAATATCTGATATAGGCTACATGTTGGGTAGTGCCAAAAATAATTAGCAGTTATAGAAAAGCTGTAATGGTCACTGTCATTTTCAGTGGTAGCTGGAGGTCCCTATCATCCATACCAGAAACTTAACATGGTAAAGAGCAAGGACCAGGGAGTTCTCACTTGTGTTTGCAGAAGGGCTGCGTGAGTATGTAAATATTTACCTAGTCCCTTCAGGATTTTCTTCTCCAGCTTTTGCTCCTTGTTGCCACTGGGCTCCTTTGCTTTGGAAGCATCCCCAGGAGCCAGCTTCTCTTTCTCACTCTCTTCATTTCCATCTTCATACTCTGCATCCTCCAAGCTGCCTGGCTCTCCTTTCTCAGGTCTGTCTGTTCCTGTAGCAGTGCTTTCCTTCTCCATCAGGCTGGTGGCAGACCCGTAGGTTTTAATGATGTCCTCCAGCTGCCGGCTCAGCTCCTCTGAGATGTCACACACGGCTGCTTCAGGCCAGCTACTTGGCTGCTCCATGGGGACTGGAGCAGGGGATGGCAGGCCAGGGGCAGGTTTGTCCCCACTCTGCCCCTGGATGTCCTGCCCAGGTGAGGTGGTAGACTGGTCATTCTCCATGCTTAGTGCAGCACCTGACAGAAAAACAAATGGAGGTTTAATTTAAAGGCATAGAACTAGCCATATAAAGAATTAGCCATCAAGTTGTTCTCAAAGCTTGGCCAGGATGTGAGTGATTTAGTGTGAAATTTGGGATGGCAACTTATCCATTGGTTCTGGTTTGACAAATATGTCACACTTAGATAAATAACCAAGGTGATTTGCCTGCAAGGAGAAAGGCAAATTATACACTTTCCAAGAGGAAAGCCTACCCAAATCTAACACTTAAAAATGAAACCCTTTTATTCCCACTGCCAGCAATGACACATGAAGTGACACCCCAGTCACTTATACTATTTTCCTCCTTGAATAAAATATTTGCCACATGTTTACGTTTCTTGATCTGTTTACTGGCAACACTGGCTTCCAATATGGGCAGCTTCACTTCAGAGCCGCGTTAGTTTCATTTCCTCTTTCTCTCCTGTTGACACATCTTAAGTCAATAATCACAAAAAATATTTTAAATGAAACTGGTGCACTGAAAATTGCACTGTGCCCTTGGAAAGCCCAGCATGGTGCTTGATCTACAAGAGACGTGCTTTGGTACCGTCACAATAACAGCAAAGAATAAGATTAACAGCTATAAACCACCCTTCTCTTGTACTTGCTCCATGCTGCTGACAGATTCTTTGACAAAGTACAAACTGCAGAATAAATCACAATGAAATAAACCCAACCACACATAACAGTTTGATAGTCCATGGTGTATTGTGGGGCGAATTTCAGCTAATTTATTCCCAGTTTGCAAAGGGAAGCGATTGTTTTCTCAGGTTTTTGCACAGCTGTGCTCAGCCAGGCATATACAGAGCCCCCAACATATCTGTGTTCCTGCTCTGGCTTACCCAGGACCTGGTAAGGAGGTTGTCAGCAAGAGCATCCTGGGTGACAGGAAAACTCAGAGTAGAGAAGGCCCCTTCCCTCTTAGAGGGAGAGGCTGCTGGCTCCTCTGTGTTGCCCTCATGAAGCAATGCAGAAGTGTGGGGTGCACATCTGGACCTTGATCTGCAACTAACCCCCACTACTGCTTGATTGCAGATTCTGTACTCTTTCCAGCCATGAGTCCTTTCTCTCTCTTTTCCAGACTGACATTTTGTTCCTCTCTTTAATAACATGATTTATAAAGGTGCTAGTGGGGAAGACGGGAAGAAGCTTACTTGATTGATTCTTTCCAGCATCTGAAGTGGTTGCTTTCTTATTTTTTGAAATATTTTGAAAACATGGAGCTAACTGGGAAGCATTTTGTTCCCTGTTCAAACAGGCTGCAACATATGTTTTCTATAGTACAGTTTCCAAAACTGTAAATAACATGACCAAGGGCATTATATGATAAGAGAGATGTCATTTACTGTAATAAATGACTCCGTGTTCTTAAATTCTCCCCAGTCAAAGTGATGTTTGGAAGTGCAGTGATGGCCATCAATAAGCAACATTTTTGAAGATTTGATTTTCTAGCTATATGATGAAGCTTGCAGATAAGATGGTCAAATGAGTTATCATCTCTCAAGCAAATAATTGAAAGCTTTGAGTGGGCTCAGGAGGGGCTTGAAAACTATTAGTTATAAATATATGCCCCTGCAGCCCACCCATAGATACAACTTGCCAGCAGAAATGGCTCAGGAATTCATCTGGACCTGGTCTCACAGACCTGTCACACTATCGCGTCCCATTCTTTCCTCACTCCTTGTGGCATAGTCATCATATCACTGCAAAATGATTGTAAAATTATATATGATTTGATATCATATCGAGTTTAATTGACATTGAAAAATTAAACCCTGTATGTGCAATTTAAGTAAATAATTCCAGATAGCACAAATGCTAGCCTCCTGTTTGTGATCTTTTTAAACTAGAGTTAATTGACTTCCAACTGATTCAAGGTCAGTAAGAGTATTGTAAAGGCTAAGCTAGACACTCCACAAAATATGTGTTTATCTCTGACATGTTCAGGCTAGTGTTTACTGTTGCAATCATTAATTTGAGCTAATTGACAGTTGGCAATCAATCAGCTAGAAAACCCAGGACTACCAGCTCTTGTTTAGGCTGAATAAAACTCTCAGAAAGTATATCCAAATTCAAAATAGCTATTTTTGTAATATGTTTATCACAAAGGGAGATCAAGACTGCAAAATGCTCCATTTCCAAATATTGATTTATTTTCTATCTCCCCCTCTTTGTAAGAAGGCTCAAGCTGATGTTCTCTCTGTACCCCGACTCTCTCCCTTGGCTGCCTCCCAACTTCATCACTCATGTGGTAGCATTCTCTGGCTAAAGGTTTCCTCTTATGTGAATCACAAAGCATGTCTCCAAATACTGCAGGCTTTAAATCCACAGTGGCAATTGATCTGTGCATGATGTGCCTCAGTAACAAGAAAAAAAACATGGCTAAATGAAAAAGAAACTAGATTATTAGAATCAAGGACATAAGATGTGTACAAGCAGGCCTTGCAGGAAATCTTTGCTAACATACATTCCTGGCTAGAAAGGGATTAGTTATAATCAGTCTGAAACCATGGCAATTCACAACTGCTGAGTTTCCATCCACCAGCCCAGAATGGTGAGCAGGAACCACAGAAATACACAGAAATGAACTTCTAACCCAAAGGTGCCCACCCACTGGGTCATACTAGCAGTTGTATTTACACACACAAATAAATATCCTAATGTTTTATTTTGCTCTTCCTCAGACTAAACCAGAGGTCTGATAGCTGCTTCCCAGCACAAACAAAATGCCTGTGAAGACTTCTGTACCTTGTTTTGAACAACAGCTTCCACAGCACTGCAGTTCATGTTGAGGGAGTCACAGCATCTGAGAGTTACCTGTTTACAGCCTTTGATGCTGGGAGTTTTTAGTGCAATTGGCCCCAGTTCTCCCTTGTACTCCATCCTGCTTAACCTTGATGTACACAAGGAATTCTCCCTTATGAAGCCATAAAAGACTTTTGGTGCCAATTTCAGCAAGACACAAAGTGTTTACATTATACTCTATCTTAAACACAGTGATGCCTAAAAATTAGGTGACAGAGTCCAGAAGAGGAATTCCTTGGTTTTTCAGACTTGCCCAATTTTAGACTGGCCACCTCTTCAGTTTTGCAACTCCTACTAGCATTACTGTTGCCTCCAGGCATCTGAATTTCCAACACAGCCTTATCCTGTTTGATGGCAAGTGAGAGAGAGGACTGCCCAGTCTGAGTCTGAGCATTGCATCTTGTTTACTCTTTTTCTCCTGCATTCCCAAATCCTGGAACTGTTCCACAGCTGTGAGATCAGCACCTTTCTTGGCCCTGGTGTTTTGGATGGAAACTTGACACTTGTGGTTGCTGCCTGCAAATAGTCACTGTGGTCCTCCTCTCCTTCAGTGGGGAACACCCCCAAAAGCCAGAGGGTGCTGCTGCCTCCCCACTGTGAGAAAGACTTTTCTCCATTCTCTCTGTCAAGAACTTGGGAAGACTCAGGACAGAAATGCAGCTTTCAGCATAGCTGAGCACACAGCACAGCCACAGCTGCAGCCAGAGGCAACAGCAAAAGGTGTGTGCCTCAGATCAGTCTGGTTACATGCTGAGTTTGTCTGCAATTATATCCCTCAATATTTCACATTTACAGCACAATTTACCTTCACTGTGCTTTGAAAACAGCCAGTATTTCCAGCGTAAAAGGTCAGTATGCAAGGGCCAATGACTCATTTAGCAGAGCTGCAATAGCCATCCCACTGCTGCTGGGAAAACTGTTCCTGTGCTGGGGTGTGCCAGCCCACCTCTCACACTGCTGGGAGCTGGCACTGCTGCCCAGGCACCCTCCTGGCATGACCAAAACACAAATTAAACATCTTCTTCTTAGCTTGCAGGCTGCCTTGAAGAGGTTTACAGAGTTTTGTTTATCTTTTATAAACAGTGTGCTTCCCCTTCCTTCTGATGGGATTTGCTTCCTGATTTCCTTCTTGCAGCTTGAACTTCTAGAGGGTTTACAGACCAGTCTATATTTAGCTTTTGCATCCCCATGTATTCAGCAGAAGGACACATGGCACCTGCTCTGCAGCCAGGAGCTATTTTAAGCCCTTCTAAAATGGGTGATGGTATTTAGCACTTTATGCTCAAAGTTCACATGCATACACATTTCTCTAAAACAAAGCTTTACATATATTTGCCCCAGCCAACACATGCTGATAAAATCTGATTTTTAATCTTTATATAAGACCAGATTGGTCTGCAGTGACACATCAAAGCAGCAAACATTAAACTCTGGAATTGCCCCTGCTACCGTAACTCTGACCACCCTCCAGAAAAATACAAGTACCTTCTTACAGTCTAGATAGACGGTGCCCTATGTGTTACCTTAGAAAGCAGAGATAAACCCAGCTATATCAGCTACTCACAGCATTTGAATAGCTTTATGATTTATGTGCAATTTTCTGGTACAAAACTGAACAAAAGTTTGGAGGTTTCATGGCAGTTTTCCAAGACTTGGAGGCTTTCTGAAGCCTCCTACCTTACGTCTCATATTGCTCCTGAACCTTGACCATTGTTGTAGCAGACCACACATGGCCCCCAGTCTCAATTCAACAAGTGCTACCAAAGTAATCTTGAATTTTTCTGATTATTCTTGATATAAGAATTCCTTACTTTCACTAACAACCTTGGATTACCCTGTTTTCCTCAGATGTGACATGGTGCCCAGACTTTCCTAGTTCTGTTCCTAGAAAATGCAGGTTGACTCTCCCAAAAGGAAGTACTCACATTAAAGCTCTTGTGCCATGTCACAAAGCAGTGACAGCAAGGAAGCTGTTCATCAGACTTACCGGAGCAAAGAGAAGATCTGAGCAGAGGAAAAAAGCCAGGCAGAAAGCTCAGACAAGGGCACGCCAGCAACAGGTTCTGCAATCCTGCCACTGAGGAAAGAGAGACAGGAAGACCAAGTGAGGCGGGAAGGACAGAGTGACACAGGAGGAGCAAATAGTGCAGGGACTGAGCACGCACTGTGCAGGGACTGTCTCTGATAGGCGCAGGGGAAGCTGCCTGCTGGCTGGCAGCATGAGCCAGCTATGTTGGCTATTCCCTGCTCTGACAGAGATAGCACGAGACATTAGAGACTTGCGCCCTCAGAAAGAGAAAAGAAAGGAAGCATACTTACACAGCTGCTACCTTTCAAATTTAAGTCTTAATCCCTCAATGACTTGAGGCGTTATGCTGTGTGAAATTTGTCTGTATTGACAATGGATTGGTCGAACTTGGTTGAATTTTTCTATTTCTGCCACAAAGACTCAGATGGATTTCCATACGTGAACTCCCAGCTGTGACTGCCCTTTGCAGCCTGAGATTTGGGCAGGATTTGTTAAAAACAGACAGATTCTTAATCATAGACTCACTGGCTGGAAGAGACCACAGGATGTCTTTAGTTTAAGCTCTTGCTTGAAGGAAGCTCAGCTGTGATCTCAGATTAGGTCTCTCAGGGCTTTAAACTGGTCTTTAAAACTTCCATGGATGGAGATTGCATGACCTCCCTGTGAAGCCTGTTATCTGGCTTGTCTGACATGGCACTGAAAAAGTTTCTCTTTCTACCTAGCTTTAACTTCCCTTGTTCCAGCTTGTGCCTATTATGTCTTCCTGCTTTACACTCCTATAAAGACTGTCTCTATCTTCTTGATAATCTCCTCCAAAGCTGTCCCTTTTCCAGGCTGAACATCCAATCCCTCCTGACAGGACAAGTGCTCCAGTGCCAGCCACCATGGTGATCCTCTGTTGAATTGATCAACTTTTCCATTAAGGCAGTGATGCTAAAAGAGGTGACTGGTGTAGCTGCCCCTGATCCCAGCAGCTCCCAAACAAATATTGTAGCCAAGATAACTTGCCTGACCTACTTTCTGCATGTGACCATGCTGGCTCACGTTGACCCAAAATTGGTGATACAAGCAAGGAGAGTACTTCCCAGGGAGCTCAGCTGCATGCTGCTTTCGCAGCAACCAGCACTTCCCACCTCTGTGATCCACAAGCTACTCAAGCACCATCTTGAGATGCCATATCACCTAAGCACCATCTGCTACCCACTCCCTAGAAGGAGATGTAGGTCAGTTTAATGCACAGATATGCAAACAATGGAGAAATGATAGGCTGGCACTGGAAGTGGCAGCCAGGGTTATGAGAAGAGAAATGGCACTTTCACTGGTCTCCAGTGAAAAACAAAGAGGCTCAGAACAAAGGGTGGCAAAACCAAATGTATACTATAATGATTTGGAGCAGTCAGACAATCCATGGCAACAGAAAAACCAGAAATGCTTTGTGCCTGATTTAAAAGGGATGCCAGAGAAAGCAGTGCTGGGCAGCTCAGTATCAAGAACTTCCAGCTCAAAAATAGTCTGTATGTTAGCAGCATCTCAGAGTTTTACTGGAGAGGACTAAAAGTCTTGCTATATTTGTGGAAATGGTGGGGCAAAAAGTTCACGCTTGAGGTGGTTTATCGTTAGTCTTATTTCTCTGCTTGGAGAAGGCAGCTCCTATAATGTGGGGATGCATGGACACTGTGGCTTCAGGGAGAATCAATTCTTCCAATTTTCTTCAGACAATGGTGGTAGCTTGGTAGTATTCCCAAGGAAGTTACTGATTTAGGGGTAACAAAAAGGAGTGAGCTTGCAAGGTCAAGGGCTTCTGTAGAAAATCTTTTGGAGAGGGTTGGAAACTGGCTGGATATGTTTTGAGAGAAGATAAAACTCTGGTGATATTTGTGACAGGGTAGTGTAAGAGATCAGAATACCAGTGAAGATAAGAGTGTTTGTATGGGCTCTTTGTGCTCCTCCTGATTTGACTGAGGAATTCTCCTGTTCCAGTCCCTGTTCATTTTTCTTTTGAAATAAAATCAGCTCTGAGATCAAAATGCACAAGTGAGCTACCAAGGAGCTAAGTAACAGCTGCAGAAACTTACTCTGGCATATTCTCACTCCTTGGCAAAGCAAGGCAAGACAGGTTCAGCTTTGCTCTCTTTCACTGGCGTTAAAGCTATCACGTGTCAGCTCATTTTTGCAACAGCCTCACAGCATGCATGGGAACCCTTATCACAGCTCAAATGAAATGATGGGATTCACTGGGCACTGGGAACTTGATCATGTCCCTGAGACATCAGAGTGCACTGATAATGGGAAGTGAGTTGGGGGTCATCATTATAAAAATCAGCTACAAGTAACACAAAGCCACATATTCTGAGTTGTTCCTAAATATGCAATGTTCCTAAATAAAGCAGTCTGTGGTAGAGTCAGGAAATAGAAAGGCATAGATAAAATCAGTATTACTAAGTTTGTGGGGAGTATTTGGGTTTTGTTTCAGAAGATTAAAAGGGATCTGCTGGATTTTGGGCTGTGAATTGAAATAACTGTCTTAGAAATGGAAAGGGAAACTCAGACAGAGAAATGTAGAGTGTGTTGAAACTGCCATGAAATTTACATGCTGAGGACAACCAACTGACTGGCATTTACAGACAGAGAAATGTAGAGGAGTGTGTTGAAACTGCCATGAAATTTACATGCTGAGGACAACCAACTGACTGGCATTTGGACTATGCCATGCTGGGATGGTTACATCTGGCTAGCTCAGGAGAGAGTGGACTGAAACTGCTTTCTGTGGAGCCTGCACAGTGTCTGAAGTCTCATCTCTTGTAATGTTTCAGGCATTTCATGTCCCTGTTTTGGGGAAGAGAAAGAAATCATTCCCTAATACATGAAAAAGAGGAGAAATGTACCTTCCTCATATTAAAGCTAGATGACTCCTTGAGAATTTGCAGGAATAAAATTGAGTTTATTTTACAGATGCGTTCAGCTATGAGCTGGATTGCATATGAATAACCCTAGGCTCTCTTTGTTGCACAGTGGCATTTCCATGGAGGTCATAGGGAATATCACAAAAAAACAATCTATTTCTGGATTAAATGTAATCGTCATCAACATAAATCTACTGAATGATAGACTTCCCAGAAGAGGAAAAATAATTCTACCTGCATTTGTCATTTGCTCTAGACAATAGTGAATGTGTTAAGCCTTACCAAATGGAAGGACAAGTTCATCATTAAGTCAATGCTATTGAAGCTTTTGGGTTTCCTTCCTATCTTCCTCTGACATACCTTCTCCCTTTGCCTAGGCCATTTTCTACAGCTGCAACATTGAGCTCTCACCTGCTCCCTCCTCTCCTCACTCCCTCCTGCGCTAATGTTGCTTCTGGGAGTTTTGTGTGTTCTTTCTGTGTCCCATGGGATAGTTGAGGTGAAAGACTGATGGTTCATGTTTAGAGTCTCTCTCTCAAATGCCCAAGGGTTTTAAAAAATGCTGACACTGAAGGCAATACTGCATTGGATAAAACCAATTGAAAAAGTTTTGAGGGTTTCTTTTTCACCACAAGCAATGGCAAGCCTTTGTTGTTCTACCACCTAAATGAACACTTAGTTTCTGCAGAAGACCTAATATCCGCTGGAAGCCATACTGACTGATTTGTCCTGCAGGCCAGTCTTTTGGCAGAAGGCAAAGAGGCTGCAGAGGTCTGGCAAGGAAAGGGCTGTTTACACCCCTCTACAACTTGTAGCTGCTCTCCTCCATGACCCCGCTAGCCAGAAGCAGAAGGAAATTTGGAGACTAGCATTCCCAGTCCTGTCACACACAGGGATGCAGACGTCAGTGGACTGCCATGGTCTGCTACTTCAGTGCCAGTTCTGTATCAGTGAGAGTATAATTTTTTTATTCTTGTGCAGGAACTTCTCTAAGAATCTGAATGAGTTTTTCATGGTTTTCCTCCTGAACAGTTTTTGGTTTATTTTTTGACAGATACAGTTTTCTCAAATTATAGTGTGTAGGGACAGAACCACTTGCTGTAACACCACTATTTCAGTCAATTATATTATAAACATCATTAGAAGACCAAAGACGTCCCGGACTGCATCAAAAGCAGCATGGCCAGCAGGTCAAGGAAGGTGATTCTCCTCTATTTTGTCCTTGTGAGACCCTACCTGCCCAGCACAGCACAAAAAAGGTGTGGATCTGTTGAAGCAAGTCCAGAGCAGGACCACAAAAAAGTGGGAGGACCTCTCCTATGAAAAAATATTAAGAGAATTGGGATTGTTCAGTTTGAAGAAGGGAAGATCTGGGGAAACCTTATAGCAACCTTCCACTACTTAAAGGGAACTTATAAATGAGAAAGAGTGACTTTTTTCATGGACAGATATTAATAGGACAAGGGGCAATTACTTTGAACTGAGAGATGGTAGATTTAAATAAGATACAAGGAAGAAATTCTTTACTGTGAGGTTGGTGAGGCACTGGAACAGGTTGCCCAGAGAAGTTGTAAATGCCCCATTCCTGGAAGTGTTCAAGGCCAGTCTGGATGGGGTTTTCAGCAACCTAGTCTAGTGGAAGGTGTTCCTGCCTGTGCCAGGGAGGTTGGAACTAGATGGTCCCTTCCAACCTGAACCATTCTATGATTCTATGATGTTTAAATATGACCATAATATACTTATGTCATTACCTAATAATATACTTATAACATGATAATATACAGTAACAAGCAGGTATGTAAAATACATAATGAAAGTATAGCATTGATGAAGAATTTAGAAATGCCTATAAACATAAAGCATATAATTCAAATTTAGAAAGAGCGCTCATAATGGATCTTGAGACACAGAAGCACAGTGACATGTGAAGAGTGGTCTAGAAGTCGAAGGCTGCTGAATCTGGTGGTGGTTTTCTGCCATTGGCACTGTCCTGGATTGCCAAGCAAATTGTATTCTATTTGCCATCTGTATGGCAGTTGTCCTCTATTAAGTGGACAGTTTTCCTTACCTCTTCCACAACCACTCCTCCCTCTGGGAAGACATCTGCTGATAATGGGCTGTTGAATGTCACTGCATGACTGATAAGAGCTATAGCATCCCATTGTGAGATGCTCCACCCAGAGGGAAAAGCCAAGCATTCTACCCAGGTATAATCTGGACATTC